GAGGACGATGCTGGATCTGATTACGATTGGTGGGCACCCGGAGCATCAACCGCAGCGACATCTGTGGAGCACTTGGAACATCTTCGCCTAAAGACTCACCGAACTGTATCAGAATCGTCGATTGGATCCTTGGAAAGCCGCGAAGGTCTCAAGATCATGGATAAGCCTTCCAAGCGCAGAAAGTCAAAGCCGGTCAACATCCGTGTTCCCAGTCCTGAGCTGCCTGACAGTACCGACTTTGTTTGTGGTACTCTTGACGAGGATAGGCCTGCCGAAGCTGCGTACATGTCAACACTTGAGCGCCGGCGCGCAGCCAAGCACAAGCCAACGCCCCAGGACATCGACCCTACATTCCCAACGTCGGACCCCGAACTTCCTGACGATGACGAGGACGAGGTTTCTGAGAATGAGAAAGTCTCCGAGTCTGACCATCTTATGATCCATGGTCGCATGGACCCCGTTAATATTGATGGACGAGGGCGCCAGCATATCTCCAAGAAGCGCTCTCCCCTACCGTCACCTAAGCGCTTGCGATCACCTCCACCTGCAAAGCGTGCTGTGCACCGCTCGCCACCACCACGTAAGCTGTTTGGAAACTCTCCCAAGCGGCTACAATCTCCTCCGCCTCCAATGCGTCTCAGGTCACCACCACCGACACGTCGCGGTTCCGTCAATCCTGTAACCACACGTCAACGCAGCGATACGTCGATACGCTTTGCTGGTATTGCCGAGCGCCCTGCACCTACAGTCTCAGCTTCCGTTCCTCGAACCCCCATCACTATGAGAAATCCATTCGATCTTGAGGATGATGAGGATGCTGATGCGTCGGATATGCCCATCCGCCGTGCCATTGACATCAAGGTCGGGCTCGAAAAGAAGAGGCAACGACGCAAAGAGAAGTTGTACCGTAAGCAACACCGCAAAGGCGCCAAAGAGAAGCGGCCCGCTCCCGGACGTGGTGCAGAACGCATGCGTGAGATGGGATTAGCGGTACACGCTCATAAAGGCAAGACGACTGTCTTCCAACCGTTCCGAATCTGCCCTGAGGCGGATGAAGACATGCATGTGCTGTCAGCGTGAGCGACAGTATGTATGTGAGGATCAGCGCCGCCGTATCTATCGGCACTTTACATGCTCCTGCAATATATTGTAGGACTTGTTGGTCGCTGATCCCACATGTTCACAGGGTCAAGCTTGGCTGAGCAAGCACCCAACATTCACTTCTTCAGCCTTTGTTTTCCGTCACATACCTTTTATCCCGATTCTTCTTCAGGCTTCTCATGTACATAGCCTTTCATCCATATTTTTGCCAATCAGTTCATTTTGACATTTGGTTTTGGCTTTTACCTTGCCGTTGTGCTTGTATATCTTTTAGTGTCTCTTTTGTCTTACTGCATCTAGGAGTAACGCTTAGCATTGATGGCCTCCCCATACAGCGGGTCGAGCGCCTACAGGGAGTTGGCGGGTTAACCTGAATCTATCACACAGGATGCAACATCCTATTGTTGAATTGTACATGGACATGCAAACAATGACGTCCTGTCTACAGTGCTCGATCTATCACACTTTTTGGATCTACAGAGAAGAAAAAAAGCCTGCATTGCAAATCGACATGAAGTTATCGCAAGATCCACCTATACTTCACGCGACATGGTATAATGATGTAATACTCCACCACGGCAATTGTGAAGTGCAGAACTGCATCGCGCTATGGTGAAGCCACTAGCCACGGGTTCGACAACCAGGGACGGCCCACAAATGCAGAGGTTTAATGGCGACTAACAGCGGGTTTGATATCGTCGGGAATCTGGGCGACGGATTGAGTTTCTGCTGCCGCAATTACACCAAGTACAAGAGCTAGAAATCTGTGTGTGCATGCGAACACATGGAGATGCGGCTGCTGCGAAGCTAAAAGCGCATGCATGCGCCCTGTGGCCAGAGTAACGATGATGTTTGCGACTATTGCATCTTCAAGAAGCGCGCTTAGGTGACATCAAGGAAATGCAGTGGGTCGCATGCCGCCTTACTAGATTGGGCTGGCAGCTGCTAGAGGCCGCGCGTGTTCAACAGTTCCAAGGATGTCGCACCTCACGAGGAACAGAGTGTCAGAATCGGACGTACAGACACAGTCGCAGGGAACGCCCGAGGCTGCGCAGCGAAGACGATGCTCGCCTATGTATCCCAGCAGGCATGGGATTCTCATGCTGGATGCGATTCTCGTACTTGGTGCTGCGGTTACAGCCGAGATGCTTAAAAGCGACAAACAATGGCGCACCCCTGTCCTATGCAAGCGTTGACCCTATATTTCCCGCCCACTGCACTCCGCAACGCCTCACCGTATCTCCAATGGAGGTAAACGTCTTGTCAACAAGCATGCCAAATCCACTGTGAAAGCGCTTTTGTCATCCCTCCCGCCATCAGTCCCATTGTTGCCCCTCTTCTTTCCTCCGCCCGGGGCTTGGCTCTGCCTTCGATCCTTCACCTCCACCAGCCGCATCGCCGCTCGCCCTTCACCCTTCACCCAGTCCTAGTGTTCCCCTTCGCCTGTGCATATCCATCTGGTAGTGTCGCCATCCATGTCGCCCCCATCCACGCTTCGAAGCCTCCCAATTTCGATAATATAGACACCTGCGACCGACCACGTTCGCGCGTCTACGCTCTCGTCTCATCGTGTCTCGGTTTCGCGTCTCCCGGTTTCGGTTAGCACCAATGCTCATGAAGAAGATGTGGATAGTGGAGGAGCGGAAGGACAAGACCGTGTACCGTCGCCGCTGTCCCACCGGCGGAGAAGTCCTCTCCTTCTTCTTTGTCTCGGCATGCGCTCTGCTCTTCCTGCTCATCTGCACCATCCTCTACGGCACGCGCACACAGAACCCCTCCTTACCGCCGCTAGTCAAGGAGTACATGCCCGCAGGACGCTGTCTGTGCGAGTTCAGTACCACTTTCTCATGCGACACTTGTCTGGACTGTGCCTCCAACCAGGCCATTCTCGCGACCAATGCAACAGAATTGGAGCAACATAATCTTTGGACTTTCACCTATCCGCGGGATAAGAACAACTATGGCCTGGATGAGGCCCAGTGCGACAGCGCTTTCCCCGGTCAATACGAGGACATTGAGCGCGCGGTCAAAGTCAGGAATCGCTGGGGCAAGGTCACACAGGCGGATCTCAACAGTTTTGAACTCACAAAGGGCATGGTCAGGGCTATGATTTATGACCGAGAGGTACGTTCTAGTGTAGTCTTGGCGATTATCTGGGGAATGCAGGGCCTATGCTGACATATGACACAGCTCTACGTCCTCGAAACTCACATGGTCGATAACGTCAACCGCCAAAAAGCCATTGCAACCCTCAGTGCCATCTATCGCGCCGTTCTCGCTGCCCCCTCAACCGCCGATATTCCAAACATTGAGTTTGTCTTCTCTGTTGAAGACCTCCCTGCTCAGCCCGCGAAGCCAATATGGTCCCTTACCCGTCGTGTCCAAGACCACAACCTGTGGTTGATACCCGATTTTGGCTTCTGGAGCTGGGATATGCCTGCACTGGGTACGCTGGAAGAGGTTGCGCAAGAGGCTGTGCAGCGAGAAACCGTCGAGTCGTGGGATCAGAAAATTGAGAAGTTGGTCTGGAGAGGCAAGATTACTTTCGCGCCCAAACTGCGGAGAGCGCTGCTTGATGCTGCCAAGGGCAAACCATGGAGTGATGTCGGGCAACTCAAGTGGACAGATCCAAATTTCAAAGAGCAATTCTTGGGCCCAGTGGATCAGTGTAATTACATGTTCATTGCCCACGCTGAAGGTATGATGGTGTCTATCGGCATTAGTCAAAACGATGCTAACAGTCCTCACTAGGTCGTTCCTACTCTGGCTCCCTGAAGTACCGCCAGCTCTGCCGCTCCGTAATCGTCTCGCACAAACTGCAATGGATACAACATCACCACTACCTCTTCCGTTCTAACGGATCCAACCAAAACTTTGTCGAAGTAGAACGCGACTTCTCTGACCTTTCCTCCGCCATGGAAGACTTGCTAGACCACCCAGAAAAGGCAAAGCGCATCGCAGACAATTCGGTGCAAGTGTTCAGAGAAAGATATCTGACGCAAGCAGCTGAAGCATGTTATTGGCGCAAGCTGATGAAGCGGTGGAGAGACGTCGTGGACTGGGAACCACAGCTATATGCCGGCGTCGGTGCTGAGGGCACAGACCGTAATAGAGAGAAGAGGAGGGGTGTTCGTTACGAGACGTTCATGTAAGTTCCTTCTACGTTACTGAGCAACTTGTTCGAAGCTGGGACTAATCTTGTAACAACAGGCTTTATGAACCCAAAGTCCAGCTCAGCTATCCTGAGTCAGCCACTTGAGCGCCCCTCGTACGTATACATGTACAATCGACGTCTTCGTCAGACGACCTCACTCTCGTTTGGCGTATATATATGCAAGAAGAGTTGGAGAAATGCATTGTTGTCTTCCGGAGTAATACGCGGGAACAAGCATGTGAAAGCGATTATACCCCCAATGAGCGTGTTTTTGTTTTTGTTTGCATAGCAAAAGGGAAGGGAAGGAAAGCTTACAGCGGAGGACATACTAAGAGAATCATGAGTGCGTATAGACATGTATATAAGACGTGTAATAGGGCTGTTAAGGCCTGAATATATAATCATGTATGATCATAGATTTGGTTGTTGAGCAAGCAGTCATGCGGTATAGTGCTAAACAGTCCAGTTTTTTGTAATAGAAAACCACAATGTATGAACGATAGTGTGGAACGAATGCACTTTCTCTGACTGTTCAACGAGTGCCAGAACTTTCAAGCAGCGGGCCATATGGAGCAGCAAGGAATGCCTTGAACATGTTCAAAATCATTTGATACCAACGATCCATCGCCGACTTTCCCGCAAGAGGCGCCCATGCGCATTGTTCGCTGATGGTAGTTACCCTTTGTGGCAATCTTCGCCGTCTTTCACCTAGCGTTGTAGCCCTCTTAACCCTTATCGAAGAACAGACAACAGGCAGACTGAGACACCTCTACAGAAACGCACATGGGTGATGATGCTCTGCCGAATCCTCACAAAGGATTCGGGGAGTGTACTACGCTCTGTTGACTCCTGTCAACGTGAGCGACAGACCTCGAAGACGATCGTGTGAATAATGAGGCTCTGCAGACATGTCTATCCGGAATCACAGCTGAGGTTGGTAGGTAGGAGTCGGATCGGGCGAGTTCTTTGTCATGGTCCCTGCTTACAAGGGAAACCCGTCTGTGCAACTGCACCCTTGAGATGCCTTTCAATGAAGGTCTTTGATATGAACAGTGTAGGACAAAGTAGTCGAAGCCGCGAGGTTGATCAAGGGTAGTCGATTGACAAGTTGTTCGTCGACGTTTCGAACTCGGCTGTCAAAGTCTTTTCATCTCCTTCCAGTTTTATGCTTCCGACACGAGAGATGTATCTAGAATAACTGTTAGTGCACAGTTCCTTCAAGGAGAAATTGCAGCAGCTCACCTAGTCCACAGATAGTCTCCAACAAGGTAGATGATGAGGAGCAACATGAACAGCCCCAGCACGGTTCCGACATAATGCACCTCTACCTCTAGGCTCTTTTCATGATCCCCCACGTGCTCAACCTCATCTCCGAACCCGCAGACAATTCTATTCTCATTCTGCACCTTCTTCGCCGGGTCCAATGGCCGTACCTGTCCCTCATGAACGCTCAAGAGGATACTGGTAGGCACAGGCTTGGGAAGTGCAAGAACTTTGGTCATGGCTTTCTTACTAGCGAACTGTATCTTGAGATCGTTGACGGTTGCAAGCGAGTAAGCCGTGTCCCAGTCGAGTGTGAGTAGTTCCTGGTAAGAGCAAAGCGTAGGTGCGGCACTTGTGGAGAAGGTGAGGCAGCGGCACTGGAGGTCTTCAAGACGGGGTTGCTTCGTTGGAGCGGCGATGACGCTAGCAAGGCCCACGAATGAGAGGAGTAGTTTGCTCTTGAAGAACATGGTTCTGGTATTTGGAGTTGAGGCGTGGAAGATGAGGAACTCCAACACTCGCGGGGCGGAATCTCACGATATAGTGACAGTCTGCTTTGGGTGGTGATATGTAGTCTATCACTGGGATCTAGACCCTCGTTAGCGCGTTCACTCTCGTATGTACATGTTAAGCGACGCACCCGGTATCAAGAATCCCCTCCAATGGTGCCAGAGGTCAGCGTCTTGGTATAATCGTCTCAAGAGCCACGTGTAGTTGAGGGCAGCTGAGTGGCTTATGAGTCTTTGAACCAAGCGTGAAATGAGCGGGAGAAAGCGTCACAGCGTGTACGCACGCTTGCATTCACATCTTGCGCTAGGCCTCGGCAACTGGCTTGAGTGAATATGATACCCTGCAGCGATCTTCTTCCAGGCACCGCCTCACCAGGTTCGCTGCATTGACGGCGGGCTACGCTGGGCAGGCCAATAGTCTTGGGTAGTGACATGCTCAGAAAAGGACTGTGGTACGAATTCGCGCCTGCGCTATTGTTCCAGTGAGTGAAATGGTGCCGGGAATACTACCTAGCCCAGCCACACTTTCTTCACGTTGCTCGTGAAAGTGGATGGATTGGTCCCTGGATTGGTCCACGAGAGGTTTAGTGCAAACGCTTTGGCCACATATGCATCCGAACATGTGGCTTGAATCTCCGCGAAAAGGGCTGCTTGAAACAAAAAAAGCCTGGTGCTGATGTTGCCGAGCATGGTCGTCCAACGGGCCAGGAATAGAGGATGTATGTGTTGTGTTGTGTGATGTTGTCCGACGTCTTATTCGAGGAAATAAGCCCTCTTGCACCTGAGAGCCGCGAAACCTTCAAGGGACCGGAGTGAGACGATACGAAGTACAAGCTAAAAGCTAATGAGCAAAATGCCTCACTAGAAAGCATATGTGAGAGCTGATAGGAGCGACAATCCAACATCACCCATCAAACAAGCTTCGCAGACGTATGTCAGAGCATACCAAGCCTTGAGGCTTGTCCATCCTACAAAGTTGACGCAAGCCACCCGTTCTGGTGAGATGGTCAAACCTCAGCCCTTTTTCATCTCACCCTGTAACAAACAAACGTTTTTGCAAGGCCTCCCCTAGCTCATGACGGGAGCATCATCGGATGGGACGGCAGGACATTCATTTTTACCGCGGCCGGCCCAAACTCCGAATGTCCATTGTACCAATTGAGCACGTTTGGAAACACGAGAAGCACGGCAACCTTCGGCGTGGTACTTGGGGTGACGACGCAAAAGTGGCGCAGGCACCCAAGCCGGGGTATTTGGAAGTAAATGAAAGTAACGGCCCGCAAAGAACCAAACAATTGGTGATGACCATGTGGTTGGTTGGAAAGACTAGGTGCATAGGGCGTGCAAGATCAGACAATGCATCCATGGAACGGCATGACATGCATACAGAAGGAGGGAGTTGGCAGGCGGGACTCCTTTACATCCAAGCAGTACATCTCCAGTACTGTATCAACGCTATCGATAGTTAAGGACCAGGTCGTATCCGGACCAAACATATGAGTATGGAGCATGAAGCGCAATATGCAACTCCATGGGACACTTGCCTAGCCTCAAAGTAGCGAAACGACCATCATCTCCTCGAAATCCCTCGATACTTGCAGATCACACCAACACCAATACCAACACCAGCCACCTCATCCACGCACCTAATTTCAAAAGCCACAACGGCCCGCTCGAAGTGAGCCAAACATACCATGGCGAAACACCAGGAGGCGCTATCACGACAATGCAAGCGAGACACGCTACCATGATAGGCTGTCACGCAGATTGCCGTAAAAGGAGCGGTTCGGCGTTATTTCTCCAGATGATCAGCGGCAGGTTCGCAAGGTATCCTCCAAGCGATGAGGGCCGCGTGGTGTTGTATAACCGTTTTACCGGCGGCGTTTTTAATGTTAGTCAGAGTGATGATAAGTGTGCAAGGCGGATTGGTGTTGCGTATTGTATGAGTGTTGAAGAGATGGTTTTATCCTCAACCTGCCAGCTCTTGGATGTTGATCGTAGCAACATTTTTTATGGATGTGTACGTGTACGCGGTTATGGTAAGCTACTGATCAGGCAATAATAACTTGCATAGATGTACATACAATATATCAGGTTTCGTGGACATCGTGTCCGACGTGCGCATGCTCTGAATCCGATTGCTCAACATGGGCACGCACACCTGCTTCCGTCATCTCTAGTACAGAGTCGTGTAGCTCATCTTTCCCAACATCTCCTTCAGTCTTCTTCTGCTCCCCGTCCTCATCTTCAACCTCTTCAACGCTATCCAACCACCTCTCGACCTTGAACCTTCATTTTTCCTTGTCCTCTCCATAGCCTGTGATGCCTCCAAGAAGACCACCGACTCCTTTTCCAACACCACCGAGGGTGCTTCCAACACCGCCAATAACATCTCCTTTTCCAAGCTTGCTGACGCCGTCACCAACTCCACTGGTAATGCCGCCGACGGCGTTGTTGGCACCTTTGCCTACGTTTCCGACCACACCACCGACGGGACCGCCGACTGTGCTCCCGAGACCAGCGAGGCCATCGCCTACCGTGTTTCCTAACCCCTTGCCTACTCCAGTCACAGTGTTTCCTAGACGAGGTGTCAGTAAAGCTTCATATACCGCACGCCATGTGATTCGGGTAGGGGAAGGTGAGCGTACCAACTCCACTCGTCGCACCAGCGACAGTGCCCTTGACATCACCCCTTCCAATGGCACCAGTGGTCTTGCTAACAGTACCTTGCACGCCCTTGGTCGCTGAACCAACGGTATAGTATGCGTTATCGACCGCGCCTGTAGCTGTCTTGCCCACGTTGTCCGTTACATGCTTGACTGGCTTTCCTACACCACCAGGTAGCTTGTCCAGCCCCTTGCCAGCGTACCCAGTCACGCCATTGACTGTGCTGTTTACACCCGTGGTCGCGGAGTCGGTGATGGTGTTAAGACCTCCAGTCGTCGTACCAACAGTCTTGTTCAAAGTGCCTGTGGCGGTATTGACCCCCTTGCCAACAATGCCCGGTTGCTTCTTCGCGGCTAGCGTGGACTGAGGAGTGGGTTGGCCTGGAGCGGGATGAGCTTTTATTACGGAGAGAGGGGTTGGGTAAGTACCATCAGGGTTTGTTTTGGTAGGGACCGTACCGTCTGGATTCACTTTGGCCGGCGTCCTCTTAACAGGAGTAGCTTTGGCTGGGGTAGCCTTTGTGGGGGTTGCCTTTGTTACAGTAGAAGACGCAGCAGTTGTGGTTTTCTTCACTGGCGTAGCGCCAGTCGTCTTACTGACTGCGCTGGCAGGCTGAGATTGCGCTGCACCTGTAACCGGGTTCTTACGTATTGGCAGTGGCTTGGTTGTGCCCAGAGGTGTGCGTTGGCGTACTGGCTTTGAAGCTTCACTAATAGGGGTCTTGCCTGCAGTGACGGGCGTTTTCTTTACAGGTGTAGTAGTAGACGCGGGCTTGCTTGCTGAAGCAGCGGTCACTGGCTTCTTTATGGGCGTTGAAGTCGTGGCTGGAGTCGCTTTTACAGGCGTGGTTGTGGTCTTTGCTGGAGTTGAAGCAGATGCGCCTGCTGCATTCAACTTCCTCGGCACTCTCTTCACTGGTGCAGCAGCCGATCCTGTGGTGTCCGTAGCTGTCGCAGCGGGCTTCTTCACTGGCGTAGCTTTGGCAGCTGATGTTGTTGTTTTCGCTGGGGTCGTTGTGGTTGATCCAGCCACTTTGGAGATGTTTCCGACACTCGCTAGAACAGATCAGTCCATGTCCTTCACATTATCTGCTAGCTTACACTGGAGTGCAGCGTTCTGCTGCTTGAGCTGGTCTATGGCTGACATTTTGGAATAGCAACGTGCGCTTTAGAAGAGGAGGCTGAATGATCAAGTATCGCAATAACAGCAGCAAGCGTGGATGGGCTTTAGCAGTCCAGATCTTGTACCAGGAAATCGCGTTCTAGACATCATGAACGCGCTTCCTCATACGTCATGCACCCTTCGCATCCTTGCTGTTGTGGAGGTACGAAAGTGGCCCAGGCCGTGGAGATCCTGTTTTTCGGACACGGGACGATCGCCGTTACATGGGCGGCCTTGGACCCTGACGTTGTTAGATCGATCACAACACCCAACTGGCGTCTGTCATACCAAGGTGCGCGAAAATAGGTATTAGAAATGATGGAACAGATTCGAGCCGTCTTGTTATTGACGATGAACACCTGTTGCTGCATGTCAGCCAGCACACCACGAAAAAGCAAAAGAAAAGCAAACAGCCGAGGTCAAGATTGTTTTGAACATTTCATCATTCATGAAAACTACCCAGAGGCAAGTCTACGTAAGATACATTTCGGGATATCCATTACTCGTGATGCATAAAGTACCACCACTCTAAGACGCCATCGAAGATTAAGCTCCGTCCATCATGCAAGTGAGGTGTAGAAAGTGAAAGAAAGCCATGACACATGAAAGGGATATCAGAGCGCCGACCAAACTTTTCGAAACCAGTCAAGACGGGCGATGCGCTTAGTCAACCTCCTCCATAGCGCTCTCGCCAGCCGCTGCTGGTGCCTCGGCGGAGGCGTCGGTCTTCTCTTGCTCGGTCTCGACCTCCTCGTCGACGTTCAGGCCAAGAGAGACGAGCTTGTGGATGCGCTCAGCGTACTGAACGGGCTCGTCAATGGTGAAACCAGAGACAAGAAGCGAGGTCTCGAAGAGAAGCAGGGTGATGGACTTGACGGTGCGGTCATCCTCACCATCAGCCTCAACCTTGCGCTTGAGCTCCTTGATGATAGCGGACTTGGGCGAGATCTCGAAGGTCTTCTTGGAAGACATGTATGAGCTCATGGAAGTATCACGGAGAGCCTGAGCCTTCATGATACGCTCCATGTTGGCTGACCAACCGAATTGGCCGGTACGGATAGCGCAAGGTGAGCCGACAAGCTTGTGTGAGACAACAACCTTCTCGACCTTGTCACCGAGGACAGTCTTGAGGCTCTTGGCGAGACCCTCGAACTCCTTCTCCTCGGCCTCACGCTCCTTCTTCTCCTCCTCGGACTCCTCAAGCTCGAAGTCCTTGGTGATGTCGACAAGCTTCTTGCCGTCGAACTCCTTGAGCTGAGTCATGGCGTACTCGTCAATGGGGTCAACGAGGAAGAGAACCTCGAAGCCCTTGTCCTTGAGGGTGTCAAGGAAGGGCGACTTCTGGACAGCCTTGAGAGACTCGCCAGTGATGTAGTACATCTGCTTCTGGTGCTCGGGCATGCGGGTGACGTAGTCGGTAAGGGAGGTCTGCTCCTCACCGGACTTGGTGGAGTTGAAGCGGAGGAGCTTGGCGAGGGAAGCGCGGTTCTGCGAGTCCTCATGGATACCAAGCTTGATGTTCTTGCCGAAGGCAGAGTAGAACTTGTCGAACTGCTCACGGTCCTCGGCGATCTCGTTGAAGAGCTCAAGGGTCTTCTTGACAATGTTCTTGCGGATGACCTTCATGATCTTGTTCTGCTGGAGAGTCTCACGAGACAGGTTGAGGGGAAGGTCCTCGGAGTCGACGACACCCTTGACGAAGCTGAGCCACTCGGGGATCAGGTCAGTAGCATCATCGGTGATGAAGACACGGCGGACGTAGAGCTTGATGTTGTTCTTGGTCTTCTTGGTCTCGAAGAGGTCGAAGGGAGCGCGCTTGGGAACGAAGAGGATGGCACGGAACTCGAGCTGACCCTCAACAGAGAAGTGCTTGACGGCAAGGTGGTCCTCCCAGTCGTTGGAGAGGGACTTGTAGAATGAAGCGTACTCCTCAGTGGTGATGTCTTGAGGGTTGCGAGTCCAGATGGGCTTCTGCTTGTTGAGCTCCTCCTCCTCGATCTTGGACTCCTTGACCTTCTTGGTCTTCTTCTCCTTCTTTTCCTCCTCCTCGTCGTCGACCTCCTCGACCTTGGGCTTCTTCTCGTCACCCTCGGCAGTCTCCTCGGCAGCGTCCTCATCCTCGACCTCCTTTTCGGTCTCCTTCAGGACGTGAAGGTAGATGGGGTATGAGATGAACTCGGAGTGCTTCTTGACGACCTCCTTGATCTTGGACTCGTTGAGGTAGTCCATCTGCTCATCCTTGAGGTGGAGGATGATCTTGGTACCGCGGCCGATCTGCTCGCCCTCGGTGTCCTCGGTGATCTTGAAGGTACCACCAGCGCTGGACTCCCAGACGTACTGCTCGTCATCGTTGTTCTTTGAGACGACGGTGACGCGGTCAGCGACAAGGTATGCGGAGTAGAAACCAACACCGAATTGACCAATCATGGAGATGTCGGCACCGGCTGACAGAGCCTCCATGAACTGCTTTGTGCCTGAGCGGGCAATGGTACCCAGGTTGTTGATGAGGTCGGCCTTGGTCATACCGATACCGCTATCTTGGATGGTGAGGGTCTTGGCCTCCTTGTTGGGGATGATGTCGATGCGGAGATCCTTGCCGCTGTCGAGCTTGCTTGGGTCTGAGAGGGCTTCATATCGGATCTTGTCGAGGGCGTCGGAGGCGTTGGAGATGAGTTCTCGCAGGAAGATCTCCTTGTTTGAGTAGACGGTGTTGATGATGAGGCCGAGCAGCTGAGAGATCTCAGCCTGGAACTCGAAGGTCTCCCCAGACATGGTGGCGGTTGTATGGGAGTAGACTGTAGGAGAGAGAGAGTCAGACAGAGCTCGCAATGGGTGCCTCGATGCAGTGCAGCCGACTAGGCTGTGTGAGTGTGGGGAAGACGTACAGTTAGGCGGGGTAGTTCGACTTGCTGGGCTCTTCTGTAGCGTGTGGTGAAGAGCAGACTAGAAAGACGAGGTTGTCTGTGTAGTTGAAATGGGAGAGAGCAATTCGATGAAGAAAAAGTAGTGGGAGGCGTCGAGTTTGGGGCTGATATAGCCTTTGGTGGAGCTCGAGAATCTTCTAGACAGAGCGGCAGAACTGCAGAGAAGGCCGCGGCGGAGCCAATCAGGGTGGGGCAGCCCTTCCAATTGTGTCTCACCGCCAAACGCGCCTTCCCCGGCAACGCCTAGTAGCGAGGGGCAGAACAATCGCGACTTCTGCATCTGCCTGCCTGTCCCCGCCAGCTACGCGCAAACGCTCGAGCAGCTTGCTTCTAGAAACCTCTGCTCTGCTACTGCCACTGTTCCTATCAAGCACCGAAATACTCACCACGCCCGCCATGGCTTCCCGTTTCGCGACGCCCAAGTGACAGCTCGTGCTCCAGCTCCAGAGCATCAGCCTCGCACAGCCTTGTACAGCCTCACCCATGGCTAACACTCCGTAGCTGCCTTGCGAAGCACCGCCCGTCCCGTCCGATCCGATGCGAGACTCAGACATCGTCTACAACAGAGGGGACACAAGGCCTTTGAGAGGATATGTTGGCGACAAATGGGACACGCTTTCAGGCGACCATCTGGTTGAACAACGCTACAAGCTGGTCGACGCGCTTCCGTGATGAATAATACTCAGAATCACACAGACAGTCAGATTGGTCCGCTTCGACTCATGTTTCTCTCACTATCGTTGGGAACAGAAAAGTCGTATACAAGAGCGGAAGAAATCATGTCAGTCACAACCCACATGCCCTTCCATACGGGTGCTGGTGTACAGTCATTCATTCGTCGTTTGATACGTGTATTCATATAGCCATCTCTTAGATAAAAGTCCTCATAAACTCTCCCAGCGCCATGATAGCCATGGCCTGGCCATATGGCATACTGGTGATGGCGATATCCTTGTAATGCTGCAAATCGTGTCCCATACCAGTTCCAAAACTTGTCTGCTCCAGCTCACCCTCCGCGCTGATGCAACCCATGACGGCCTTGATCGCCTTGACTGCGCTCTGGAGGTATACGTCTCCGCTAATATATCGTTTCCGACACGCCTTGAGCATACCGTATGCAAAACCTGCTGTGGCCGACGCCTCTTCGTAGCTGCCTTCTGAGACAGGAATATCAAGAAGTGTGCGCCACATGCCGTTCTCGCCTTGCAACTTCAGCAGTGCTTGACATTGCGACTCAAGGATGCCGATGAGGAATTGACGGAGGGGGTCTGTCTCCTTGAGGTCAAGCAACTCAATGAAATCCGGAATCGCAATCGTCAACCACGAGTTACCACGCGCCCATCGCGCGCGCGCAAAGTTGTGGCCGACCTCCAATCCACCCTTGTCCTCCCACTTCCAGCCGTGGAAGAACAGGCCTGTGGATGTGTCGCAGAGGTACTGGCAGTGCAGGATGAATTGGCGCTTTGCTTCCTCTACGTATTCTGGTCTGTCGAGCGTAAGACCAATCTTTGCGAGAGGCAGTGCGCTCATCATAAGCGTGTCGTCCCATAGTTCATCCTTGTTGAACGAGTTGTACGTCTCGTGTTGGAACCCGCCAAACTTTGTGCGGGGCAGTCCATGCATCACCCACTCAGCCCACGTGTCTAACCAAGGCACAAACGTCTTGTTTCCTGTCTCTTCATACAGATATGCCAATGTGAGGAACGGGCTCATGGTGTTGATATTCTTGGTTGTACCCTTGCTGAGCTGCTTCTCGAACCAGCCCTTCATAATGTCCATGGTTGCAGTGCTGCCCGTCAGCGTGTAGTAGTGCCACAGACCATAAAGACCTATGCCATGTGTCCACTCCCAGCCGTCCCAGCCTTTTGTGTCGATAACGCGGCCATCGTCGAGTTTCAGGAGGAACTCGCCCGTTGTGTCGTGAATGTTGATCAGGTTGTGTGTTAGAAGGAGGATCTTCTCGTCTATTTGGCCTTTGGTCAGGCCGTGAACTGTGAGTGTAGACATGGTGGACGCCTTCGTTGAGGTTTATCGCGTTCGCAGAAGGTGTTTGGTGGGCTTGTCGCAAGCAATCGAAATCTGGAGCAAGACAGGCAAGAGTTGAAGGAGGAAGGTATCGAAAAGACCAGATGTTATCACACGCGTAGTCTGCCAAGTGGGTATTACATAGAGCCCGTCGGTCACACGCGTCGGTAGAGCTCAACCCAGATACAGAGCGGGGAGCGAAAACTGGGGAAGTCTCAGGGTCCTCAACCGCATCTATTACATCTGAACTGCATGCAGCTGCCAGATTCCATCCAGATCTCGTGCCCTGTTGCACCGACTCGTCCATCTCTACCCCGACTGGGAGCTGGGCACACGTGGTGTTGCTCCAGCAGATGGGTTCCTGGAAGACGCGGCTCTTTTCTCGTGTCAAGCATCAAACACCAAGACCTTTGACGCCCACTGCTCAAACCTCCCAAGTCCACTGCTAAGATCCCAAAATGGGATCTCTGCCGCACTCGCACTGCATTACGCCGACGCTCGTTGAGGACTATACCGATAGCACCGACGTCAAGGGTCACCAATCGCTTATGTCTTGGAGAGCCGGAAGGCACCGTGGTGGGAAGGAGAACCGCCGTGTAGGAGCTTGGCCGCCTGACTCGACTCTTCCTGGGAAGGAGAACCGCCACCGACGATGCAGGCGGACGAAATCTTCCACCAGCCGCCGCATGCCAGGGAACAAAGCTTCGCATGCCACTCGCACGAGCCTGACCCATCACATGCATTCCCTCTCACACCCGAGGGGCGGTTCGGGATCATCTATGCCGATATTTTACCAGACTTGGACCATTGCCAAGTGGTGGCACTCTCCACACTGCTTGATCCTTCACAAGCACTCCACAAGACTCCACAAGCTGTTTGGACGGCACCGTGGCGGGGTTGGCGAACCCCAGAGACTAGCGACTCAAGATGCAGCATTGGCGCCCACAGGGTCGCGCATGCAGCACGCCTTTCCAGTATGCTACGTCAAACCGGGATACGGAGACAAGGAGAAAGGAGATAACAACGACTCATCAATATTGGCTAGACATTGAGGTGCAGGTTCTTATCCCAGGATTTGCGGAGTAGCCTGCCAGCATGGGGTAGCTGGAGGCCGGGGAACGCTTGGACGGACAATCTAAAATCGGGTAGAAATATCAACTCGACCGCTCTTCCACTTTTTACCAGCTCACTGCGAGTCCTGGGGTCTTTCTTTTGAACCTCATTCTCTTCCGCTGTCAATTTCTCGGAAGCCTATTTTTCAAGATGGCCACCGCCAGAGCCAGCGCCGATGGCGTACACAACGCACCCGAGACTGTTCGTCAATCGGACGATAAGAAGGACATCACACAGGTCGAGCGCGTACTCTCCGTCGGAGACGAGAAAGGCGAGCATGCGGACTACAACCGTATTGACCAGGAAGTTGCCAAATACGCAGGCGCTTCTGAAGTCTTTGTCTCTGAAGAAGAGAACAAGCGGTTGAAGAAGATGATTGATCGGCGTGTACTGCCCATTATGGTCATCACGTACTTTTTGCAATCGCTAGATAAGGGTACCATGTCCGCTACCTCAATCATGGGTATCCGTGACGATGTTCCTGGCCTTCTTTCCAAGGAGACTGTGAGTTGCAAAGTCTGTGGGCACTAGTAACATGTACTGACTCGTGACAGTTTGGGTGGCTCACCACCTGTATCTACCTCGCTGTGCTTGTCGTCGAATACCCAACCAATTGGATTCTCCAACGAGTACCAGTCGCCAAATACCTTGGTTTCAACATCCTCGCATGGAGTACCGTACTTGCCTGCCACGCCCTCTGCTTCAGCTTCCCTGCGCTCGTTGCTGTCCGAACACTCCTCGGTATCTTCGAGGCCGTTTGCCAACCGGCTTTCTTGATCATGACTGGTCTTTGGTACAAGCGTGAGGAGCAGGCTCAGATCGTTACTTACTGGTACATGATGAGTGAGCGGAATACAGTCAACCTCATAGAACAACGACTAATCTCTTCATCTAGACGGTGCCCAACAGATCGTCGGTGGTCTTCTCGCATACGCCTTCTCTACAATCAGACATCCTAGCTTCAAGGCGAACCCCGGAAATGCGCCGATTAGGTCATGGCAAGCCATCTTCATCTGTTACGGCTGTATCTCTTTCCTCTGGGGACTCTATGTCATTTTTACACTTCCTGATAGCCCTATGCGCGCCAAGTGCTGGTCTGAAGAAGACAAGAAGCTCATGGTTGAGCGTGTCCGCTCTAACCAGACCGGTCTCCAAAACAAGAAGTTCCGTGCCTACCAGTTCAAGGAGGCTCTCCTCGATCCCCAGACCTACTGCTACATGGGTATCCAGATCTTCACTACCCTCCCCACTTCTGGACTCGGTGCCTTCTACAACATCATCATTCAGGATCTCGGTTTCGATGTCCTCCAGGTTCAACTGCTCGCCATGGTTCTTGGTGTAGTCATTATTGCCACACTCATGGGCTCAGCCTGGATGGTCAAGAAGACAAAGCAAAACCTGTTGACCATGGCCGTTTTCATGATCCCAGCTTTTACTGGCACAATCGTCATCATGACTGTCAAGAACACTAACAACGCTACCAAAGCTGGTCTACTGATCAGTTATTGGATCATCTTCACCTTCTGGGCTGCCCAAGGTCTCGGCATGTCCATGCTGACGCGAAACGTCGGAGGTCAGACCAAGAAGTCTGTCTGCATCACCATGAACTTCTTTGCTTGGTGTGCCGGTAACGCCATCGGTCCCAAGGTCTTCTTTGACGGCGACCCACGCTACCTCAAGTCGCTCTCTATCCATCTCGGATGTTATTCTGCGCTACTCTGTGTCATTGCCTTCCTGAGATTCAACCTCATGCTACGCAATAAGAAGAAGGACCGCGAGTTTGGAAAGGAGATTAGCAATGCTCACGGATTTGACGATCTGACGGACAAGGAGAATCCCAACTTCCGTTATGTTTACTAGGAAATATGTTGTTATGATGGGACGAATCAAGAGCACTCTATGCTGTTGTAGCTACTGTAGCACTTATCATACCAGACAAAAATTGCACAAGCGATGTTCTTGTTACTCATCCCAAGCTTGCTCCGCCTACTACTTAATATGCTTATTCCATAATTACTTACCTATGCATTTCTCGTTGGAGGAAACTTTCCTCGTCGACCGCTGCTTGTAATTTTACGCAAGAGAAACACGTCTCTCTAAAAAGCAAAGTCGTCTGTTTGCTCGCGCGATCGACAAAGTACCAAATATTTGACAGGCGTTGAGCATTCGTTCTCACGTGTTCGGAACGAAAGCAGCCACGTGCTAACGCGAATGCTACGTGATTTGGGCGTTGGCTTGGCCTGTCCAAGTTCTAGTGACTCTGTTACATCCTCATTCTGCGTTGACACCTTTCCTGGTGGCTGCCGTGCTGCAAAGTAAACTTGAATGATGCCTTCATAGAAGAGTTGGTATATATGGCTGGTAAGTGAGCCCCCAGAAGCCGCTGCAACATGGAAGATGTTGCTAATTTCCACGAGCAGTCAACAGAGCGATGTCGCTTGATTGCCTTGGAGCTATCGCACTACCCAAGAAAGCCTTGCTTGGAGCCAAATCAATAGGTCGAAGCTTTTCACGGTGGCTTTCCCAATACGTAGATTCCAAGGTCCCATGGATATCGAATCTGGTATCATTGCGCCCATATTGTTACGCGTGGACACCCTGCTTGTTTTGGCGTCCAGAAGTCCGGACTGTGGAGTGGGATCTGGAACGAAAATGTTTCGTGTATATATTTTGCTCGTCACATCAGCCTCTAGGCAGACACAGTGGTATCATCGGCTGTTCCACTGATCTTTGTCTGCTATGGCAACTCCTATCATCGCTTCGCGCCATCGTCTACATGTCCTTCCCTATCCAACATCTCGTTCTTCTTAGCACTCCCCTCCAACCCCGCTAAAATTGCCTTGTCCTCTCCCGGAATGCGCATCTCAAAAGTATCCCTCACGACCGCATATTCATAGTACCCACATCGAGCAATCGGCTCCGTCTTCCTCACATCGATCTTGCCATCAGTCAACACGCGCTCATCGATGTGCACACCGATTACCTTCCCTATCACCACGTCTGCTGACCCCATAGGCGGGTTTCCAGGAAGTCGCAACGTAGTGTAGTACTCGCACTCGAACTTCACCGGACTGCGCATCACCATTGGGATCATCATTTCCTTCCTGCCCTCGCCACTATTGCCAACTACAACAACTCCACTCAGCTTACTGTCCTCCTTTTCTACACCCGCCTTCTCAAACTCGTCAACACCATATTCTTCTTGCACTGCACTCCTGTTTACTTCCTCCCTTAGCTCATACGTCGCTAGATTCCAAATAAACTTTCCTGTAGCTTCGACGTTGCGGACAGTATCTTTCTGTGAGTTGCTAGGCGTTTGATTGGCGCTAAACATTACGTATGGCGGGTCGAAGGTGAGATTGTTGAATTGAGAGTAGGGAGCTAGATTTGCGTGGCCATCAGGTGAGAGTGTCGATATCCAGCCTATCGGTCGGGGAAGGACGCATGCCTAGGTTGGGCTTAGTGGCTGCTAAGAGAGTTTTGAGTGTACATAATTCTGATAGATGAATACTGTTTCTGATTGCCTTCATGGCGTCTGGAAATCTGGCAAAGCATACTTACTTTGAATGGATCGTACGGTAATCCGTGGTCTTCTTTTCCAGGTTGGTAGAACATTGCAACTTCGTTGACGTGTACTTCCCTACAGCTATCTCTCGTGATTCGCTTCTTTTATACCTAGGAGATCTGTAAAGCCGTATTTATCGACCTGGAAGTTTCCGATCATCGAATCATCCTCAGGTAGACGTTATGTGCTTGTCCAAAGCCGAACCACCTGTTTGGGTCTTTGTCTGCCAGTTAACGGGTAGACTGCGGGGAACCATTACCTGTCGGAATCGGCAAACATAGGCGGCATGTGCCTCTACCCCCCACTAATACCGACACCATCACTTTTGCAGTAAAGGTCCTTTCCAACAAAATTGCCACATTGAGACGAGTACATTGACCATGTATCTATACACATCTTCTCAAGTGTCTACAAGCCTCAGCTGTCGAACTCGCCAACAGCGCAAAACCCCGACCTAACACAAACAATGGCATCAGAAACCATCCTGATAACAGGCGCATCCTCCGGTCTCGGTCTTGCCTTCGTACAACACTATGCTTCCTTGCCATCACGGCCCAACATAATAGGCATCGACAACCAATCCTTCCCAATCCAAATTGACAATCAACAAGGGACCAATATTCAATTCCATCAGATTGACATAACATCAACTTCCAAGATCCAAGACCTTGCATCGACACTCAGCTCCATACCCATCAACTTGGTCCTTCACTGCGCCGGTATCCGGGGTCTTGTTCCACGTATCGTGGCTCATGAGAAAGATAGCAACAGGGTCGTCGCGGCAGCAGAAACACTGGAAGCCATGGATTACCCGACCATGATGAAAACCCTTGAAATCAACACCTGGGGTACTTTCAACGTTATCAGATCGTTCTTGTCAAACCTCCAACTAGCCGCTGTTACTCAAAGCTCATCAAAACCTAAGGTCGTCATTTTGTCATCTCGAATGGGTTCGATATCCGCGAACACGGCGGGTGGCGGGTATGCATATCGTGCCAGCAAGGCGGCCCTGAATGCGGTAGTGAAGAGCTTCGTCATCGATATACCGGAGGTGCAGTTTCTGATGCTGCATCCGGGACGGGTGGAGACGGGACTGGTGGAGTGGAAGGAGGAAGGAGCAATTGGGGTGGAGGAGAGTGTGGGGGATTGTATGCGGGTTTTGACGAGTATGACCGAGGAAGGATGGGAGAGTGGGAGATTGGTGGACCGATTCGGCGTGACAATCCCCTGGTAGCAAGGATACTAGATCGAAATATGAAGGGCACGCTGCATTCACCTATGTATCTCTGCATTTGTATGGTGTATCTTGATATCAAATCGCTGCGCCTGTCCTGCCGCTTTTGCTCATTTATCCGTACATTGTGATCTCCATCTCATGTTTCTGTCTATGGCGCCTTGGTATACATGAACGAAAATAGAGCCCTATTTGTGCGCGATATATGCTCCCACATCATCCGCAGACATGGACCGCCTTCGCCGATACAGCTCCAGTGGCAGTTGATGCACCAAGCTGCGCGGATGTTGCCAATGGATCGTAAGGGCTATAATTGATGCCACCAGTGGTTGTGCCTACGAGCTTGATAGACGTAACCGACGGATCAAAGGGAACGTAGTTTATGCCGCCAATGGTTGTGCCAGTAGGCTTGACAGCCGCCGTCGATGGGTCATAAGGACCGTAGTTGTTGCCGCCAGTCAAAGTCGCAGGCAAAGTCATGACCTTCGTTATCGTTATGACCGTGGTGATTGTGATAGTCATGGGAGCTGCCTCTGAAGCCATCGCGGAGAGATGTCCAGTGTAGGAAGAGGTGAGTGTTCTCGAGGCGGAAGGCTCGTACGGGCTGTAATTATCACCACCAGTCCGAGTCGCAGGCAGCGTCACGATTTTCGTTGTCGTGACGATAGTTGTTATTAAAACCACTTCAGGGTCTGTCTCGGAAGCCGGCGCTGGAAGACGCTTGCCGTAGAAAGAGGCAAGAGTGGTTGGGGTTGTAGCAGATGTTGACGGGTCGTATGAGCCGCAGTTAGTACTGTGAATCATTGTTGTAGGCAAAGCCATGAGATTGTTCGAAGTGGTGATGGTAGTCGTTGGAACTGGAATGACAGCTTGCTTTGCAGTGGTTGTAGAGTTGAGGACTGTTTGAGCTATCTCGGATGCGAGGCTGTTCTTCGGGAGATCACTGCCGGCGCCGTTCTGGTAAACTCTCACGGAATTGATAAGATAGAAAACTTCCTTGAGCTTATCAGGGTTAGCTGCAACGAAGTGGTTACAAGAGTCGTCGTGGGTTTCTGCTGCGCAACCTGAATAGCCAGCCCAGGTATCGCCACCCGCATTCCTGCCACAGAAGGTAATATTGAGAATCTTTCCATGTCAGTGAGTACTCGCACGAACGAATATGGGAATACGTACGATCTTCATCTTCTTGAACGTCTTCTGGATGTCACAGCCGTCCCCAACAAAGTTCATCACAGGCTTGCCCCATCTGCTAGGATCAGGATGATCACCGTCCAAGCCCGAGGGCTCACTGCCTCTAGCGAAGAACCAGGCCTTGATGCCACCATTGCTGACCTCTGCTGCCCAGACTCCGCCGTGGCGATCATTGAAGGCCTGGCCCAAGGAGCCGTCAGGACCATTGACTCCACAGTTGTAACCACTCGAACACTCAAGGTCGTCGCGCGTCTGTCCGGTACCGCCACTATCCCGCATCTTACATGGCGTCTGAACAGTGTGGATGCTGAGCTCGTTCCAACTATTCTTCGAGACGCCTTCGATAATGTCGAACTCGGAGTACCAGTCCTCTTGGTCAGCATCATCGTGTAGAAGCCAGCTGCTGCATGTACGACGAATCTCACAGAGAACAGGAAGCACGAAATGCCTTGAACGCCTTGAAGGTTCAACTGTGGTTATTCCAGGTGGGCAAGCTTACAGAGCAGGCCACATGCCACATCCACTAGGTAGATGATCAAAATCGGCAATGAAGAGCCCATTATCAAACGTCTGCACTCCCTCCAGTCGTATGCTCTTGCGGCCATAGCCCTCACCAGGCTCCTTTGGAGTGAGTACCTGGTTTGTGTCGACCCCAAGACGAACCTTGCCGTCCTCGATACGGGCAAGTCCAAGTTCAGTTGCTTCTTCCTTGGAGACATAGAAAGCGAGACCATGAGTGAACTTGTCCCAGCCGTTGTAGAAACGGAAGGAGCTATCGTCGAAGAAATTACTTGCATCGTATGTCGCCTTGAGCTCGTAGCCCGTGGCGAGGGAAGCCACTGAGGCGACAGTGAGGAGGGTTTGTAAGATAGCCATTGTTCAATACTCCTGTGGAAGCTGGAGAAGGATAAGAAGAGGAACGCGAGAGTGACGAGGAGGTCTGACGCAGAAAGTTTGAATCATATAGACTATTTACCCGTGCACATACCGTCTCGCCTGGTGAGAGAAGGTAGCGGGAAGGAGCGACTCAGGGTAGTGAAGTGAGAGAAACCATATTGAACTGACACTCACAATACCTTGTCTTTGCCGTGCTGTGAAGCGAATTATAGGTGATATATGCTAGGCTGATTCATATCTGACTTTTGCACCATCCAAGGTCGGTATTAGAGATGTCTTCAGGGTTGAAGATGGCATCTGAGTAAGAATCGTATCCTGCGGTAGACTGGTAGACAGCGTAGTGCTACTCTTGACATAAAAGACCCGCTCATTACAGAGTGCGCTGGGGTATTGATGGTATTTCGAGAACGCTGGATGTGGGCAACCACAGCCGGCACCAACCGCATCTCTTCTATAAGTCAACGTTTGGTAGCAGCTTTGAAGCGCACGCTCAATATCGATAGGCATGAAAACAAGGAATGTGACTTGATGCCACTTGCGAAACGACTGAACACGCCGATATCATGCTTGATCACCCACCGTCTTGCTTATATCATCCTCACGAGCATCGGCCAGTGTGCCTTGTTCGCCTATTCTTGACCTCGCGCCCGAGATCTTGCCCGCAGTCTCCAGTCCTCCTTCGATACCCTGTACTAATCCGTCTAATGCATCGAAGATATCGGCTTGTTGGTCCCTCGCCTCGTTCAGCCTGTCCAGTCCAGCCTGACCCTTTCCCTTGCTCTTCCTCGGTATCTCAACGCCTTGAATCCGGAGCATGTACCCTTGATCTGGCGCATTCTCATCGAACGACGGAGCTGTTCGCACATCCGTTTCCGTTATCTGCCACTCCGATGAAAGCGACTGCGCATCTGCGATGGTTCGTCCGTCCGCCGCGACATCGATTATGAGGTAGTGTTCCTTGACACCCGGTATAGGTGGGGGAAGCGGTGACTCGACTGGTGAGGCTTGCTCGTCTCCTTCTTCACTTCCCTGGTTGCGTCGTCTCTCACCACCACCTGGCGCATCCTGTGGGAGGTACTTTGTGTCATCCAGCCCTAAGCCTCGCATCGATGCGGCGGTTATGATGGTCGGGTCGTCATCTGCAAAGACATAGTGTGTATACGGGTGGTAGTGCTCGCCCGACGTTGTATCTTCGATTAGAGTAAAGAAAGGTCGGAAGTTCGGTGGTGGTAGCAACGGCTGCTCGAAACTAGGCTCGGGATACGGTACATCGTCATCATCATCGTCCTCTGGCGCATCGCCAGGCTGCTGTTGCTCGCGGAGCTCGTCGTCGGGAGAATGTTTGGCGCGCTGCAACGGTGTTGATCGTGGAGAGTACGACGCGTGAATATCTGAGAGGGGCTCTGTAGTGTCGGGGTTGTTAGACATGTTGTGGGGATTGATGGAAGGCTGGAGTTAACGGAGTTCTGGGAGCTCTAGTAAGATGCGTGATCGATCGATAAGGGACGTGGTCCATGCACACTACCCTACCAGCATCAAGGATACCTAGGTATGAACCAAGTACTGAAGTACAGAGAAAGTCGCAGTGTGAATAGGCTGAGGTATGTAATGAAATCCTTAGGGTATCCAAATCCAAACGCCGATGGTAACAGTACTGTATAATCCAAGTATCGCTTCGGATGTGAAGCACTACTGCCCCAACTCCCGGCCTATACGCGAGAAGCATGTCGGTAACGAGCCTCTTCACAGATGTCCGTCATCAGTGCTAAGATTTGAAGGCTACAATGGGCTTGTATCGGGTTCTTGCGGCTGTGTTGGGGTTTCGGTGGCTGTTGGCGCGTCTTGACTCTTCGACTTGAAGGCTGGGAATGCAAGTCAGCGGGTGTTCTGTGAGCTTCGAACTGTACGTACGCTGACGACACATGGGACACTTCTCTAGAGAGCTCTCTTGCTTGAGCCAGGAGAAAATACAGTGCTGAGACACGTTAGTTGTGGGCGCAACAGGTACTCTCTGAGGATATAGGCACACCATGTGAAAGGAATGGTTGCACTCTCCCAGCACTATATCATGTTAGTCTTCATCGACCCTCGTCATCTTCAAACGTACATAGTGGACACTCGTCTCCAGGAAACTTGCACTTGGAGCAAGTGCTATCGTAAGGGTTGCGACAGATACCACAGACATCGTCATCTGGCATGTCCCAACGCCATGCGGCGACAGCATTCCATTCCCGTATAGTGACTTTCATCCTGTCCTTTGTCGCGCAATGGGTAGAACACGAAGTTGGCGCGCAGATTGAGTGGGACGCAGATCAACAGCACCAAAACATGCTGAGGCGGCAGATTTACGGCGGTGAGGGGCCACGGCGCGTTAATTCCGCTACCAGTAGGGTCTGAGCTCAAGCTGGAGCTTCCAGCGTCATCATAATCACAAATTCGTAGACCATACAAATGCCGTTATCCAAACGCGTAATGCTATCATCTTCTGAATCGATCTTTATATTCGAGCGCGAAAAAACGCGTCACATGATGTTATACTCGACTAAAATTGCGTGCGCGTAAGGTAGATGGCACTTCGACAGATTTGCTGAGTTCCCCGCACTAATCTTGAAGCTTACTGCGGACCCTCCTCTGTACAGAGGATGCAGATAGGGAAGCTTGACCTCGCCGTCTACTCCACATATCTTCGCTCCTTCTTCTTTCTCGCCGACCAGGACACCTTTTCTAGTTCACTGTATCCACCGTCCAGCTTCCAATATGTTCGTCCTACGCTTCCGCTGCTCTTTACGCCCACTCTCTTCCACTCCCTCTGTCCGCTTCCCCATAGCTGCAAGCAGTAGACGGACAATGTCTTCACACCACCACTTCTCTTCTTATCTCGTCTCACCATCCGAGCTCAATTCAGCTCTGAAGCATAATGCTAGCAAGCTTTCTTCAGAGCCGCGCATCGTCCCGCTTTGCGCATCCTGGTTTTTGCCCAACGATGGTAGGAATGGGTACAATACTTTTATTGAAGAGCGTATCCCGCGCGCTCGTTTCTTCGATCTCGACGCCGTCAAGGACATTCACTCGCCATATCCGCACATGCTTCCTTCTGCCGAAGACTTCGCAATCGCAATGAGACACCTCGGTATACGCCGTGAAGACAGCGTAGTCGTCTATGATACAAAGGAGCTGGGTATCTTCTCAGCCCCAAGAGTTGGTTGGACGCTACGAGTCTTCGGACATCCAAATGTGCATGTGTTGAACAACTTCCGCAAGTGGATCGAACAAGGGTTCCCAACGGAGAGCGGAGAGCCAAAGGAGGTTGCGCCGACCGAGTATGCAGTGCCGAAGTTGGAGGAAGAGAGGATCGTCGCCTTTGAGGAGGTCAAGGATATCGCAAGAGAATTGGGCAAGGAGGGTGCGGATGAAGTGCAAATATTGGACGCGAGGAGCTTAGGCCGGTGGAAGGGCATTGATCCGGAGCCTAGAGAAGGTATGCTTCTAGCTGCATAAGAGACACTACAACATGGTGAAGCTGACTCTACTAGGCCTTTCATCTGGGCACATTCCGCACTCCACCTCTGTCCCCATCACGGACCTTCTCGATTCGAAAGACAAGACGCTTCTCCCTGCCTCCGAACTCCAAGCTATCTTCAAGTCCAAGGGGGTGGATCCGTCTAAGCCAATCATAAACAGCTGTGGTACAGGCGTCACAGCGGCAATCATCGACGCTGCATTGTCAGAAGCTGGCTTCCCGGCACAACAGAGGCGCTTGTATGATGGCAGCTGGACCGAGTGGGCGCAGCGCGTGAAGCCTGGCGAAGGTCTCGTCCGGAAGACGGAGTAGATTGGTACGTAGACTGGTTGGAGACGTGATGAGTTTCCTTAACAAGTTGATACCCCTTTTCTTTCGCGTATATTCTTTGTATCCTCGAATGCATGATATGATTCCGACTTTATGCCAATGATGAAGTATGCATAACTTTCTTGCTGGCCTAATTCGTTGTATTCGTCAATGTGATGCAATTTTGTGATTTTTCATGCTCATCAACAACGTCTACTCCTACAGGAGTAACAGCTGTTGAATATATTCAACGAGATTCGTTTTGGTATAAAAATAGTGTCGAAACACCAAAGGCATGGGGTATACGCAGAGATCTAGATCCGACCACCAGAGAGATTGTCGTATCCAAATGAAAGATATGCAAGAAGCTCACCATTCGCGCAAGTGACGCACAGAGGAACGGCAGAACATCGGAGAGTTGACTTCTCAAGACTGTGATGACTGAGAAGCCTGTAATGCTTGCGGTGTCTGGGATGATGGACAGGGCTGTTTCGGGTCAAGGTCTGTGTCCGGGTGTAAGGAGTCAGTGTATGTCTAACACGTTGCTCGCCCATAGACACTTACATCTATTGAAGAATTCCCTGACCTGTGGATTGGCACCCCCCAGAGGTTTCTTTGGAAGTGCCACAACGTCGAGACCCTTGAGCGAGCGTGCTCTACTGACTGTTCAAAATATTAGTCTATATATTACAGCTCTATCAATGAAGCGCAACTTACGAGCGACGTAGAGTTGGCTTGCCTCAAAAGCCTCCTTGAGATCTACAATAACGCGATCCAGAGTCATGCCCTGCGACTTGTGCACAGTAATGGCATAGCCTGCGACAAGCGGAATCTGTGCCCTCGATAACAGGCTGAGCTTGCCCTCATCTCCATGCTCGTCAACATTTCCGAGTTCGTTGCAAGGACAGTCCGCGTAGATGACCTTAGTTCGGCCGTTGTCGAACCGAACAACTGGCCATGGCTGGCGGCGGTTCCGATTGGCGTATTCTTTAATTTGCCCTTGGGCATATTTGGCATGAGTACCTTTGAGCTCACCGTAATCGTCTTTGCCCTCTGCTGCGCGGGGTAGCTTGTTAGGGTCAAATTCCTCAAATCCGATGATCAGGCCTTGTGAGCCGTTTACAAGGCCGGCGTCGGGTTCAAGATTGGCCTGTAACACCACGCGCATGCCCTCCTTCAAATGCACAATAGCTTCGTAGCGATGCTCTCTCTGTGGGACAGTCAGTGATATTCGGACATTCGCAGAGGTCGTCATACTAGTTGTTTGAGAGTACCATCTTCTTTCTGTTCACAGTATTTTTCCAAAGATGTGTCTTCGCGATCATTCCATACGAAGTTATCTAAACACTTGTAGGCGAGTTGCTGTGAAGGAAGCTTCGCAATGTTTTCTTTGTTTATACGGTCGACATCCCAGCGCTTGGAGAATAGTCGGATGGCGCCTTCGGTTTCTTTTGTGTGATTGAGCAGGATATTTGCGTGATGCCTAACAATCTCACCATCTAGTATGTGTCAGTACATGTTTTCAAGTTTAATTATATGCGACAGTGGCGTCTCAATGATGGGCAACTATACCTCTGCGAATTTTCTGGAGTATGGAGATAAACTTCCTGTCGTCTTGTCTGTGAATTTCTGTGAGATTGATATGTTCGAATTTGCAATCCTGCCTGTGTCAGTGTTGCTGCCGTACGAGTCGGATGGAGTATACAACAAACCTTCCACGCTTCGCTACGGAAGGCCCACTTGTCGGTGTCGAACCAGAAATCATAGCGACATTTAAGGTTCTCGCAAATATGATGTAGCTCTCCTTCTCTCTTTTCATGAATGAGCTTCCATCCACACCCCATACAATGCTGGAAGGGCTTCACAGGTGATAGTTGACAAAACTACGGTAATTAGCATATCAGCATCGAATCTTGTAGAGTGACTTACGTCTCCGGTAACAACGACTTGAACGCCGCCAAATGGGCCAGTGGCTTTGCCGGCGCGGCTGGCCTTCATGACTTCGCTCAATCGCTCAAATTGGAGGTTTTCAATCATGCTGATCTCATCGATGACTAGCACGTCGGTCATGTCGAACTTCTTCCAAGTTTCTTTGCCGTGAGCGGCTGCCTTCAACACATCCAACGATTTGTTCATGCTGTCCACTGTCCAACCAGCGAAATTCCAGGTCGTTTGTCCGCCAACGTTAAGCGCGGCGAGATTAGTTGGCGCTACAATCCGAACGTTCTTTCCTTGCTTTTTGAGCAGTGGAACGAAAGCCTTCAAGATAGTAGACTTGCCACATCCTGCAGACCCAGTGTAGAAGACGTTTTTCCCGCCGTCCACGATGAGATCTACGACTCTCTGCTGTTCTGCGCTCAATCTTATCTCGGGATCAGAAACGTTCTTGTTAGCAGTAGTGTTCGGTCTTGGAGACTTTGCTGCAAGCTGTGACTGCCCTACAACGTGTCCTGCTTTGGAAGGTGATAGATCGTAGTTTGCGTATCCTTGGAATCGATTGGAAGGTGAGGTTAGAAGGGGGTAAGTGTACTTTGGAGGAGGTGAAGGTGTACGTTGAGCCCTGTGCGCATCGTATGTCGGAGCAAAGTTGTAGGACTCTTGCTGCCGCTCCCTTTGGCGCTGGAGCGCTATTTCGACGCGGTATCTGTTTTCGTTCATATATTTCCATGCATCGTCTATGGTACGAAACTTCTTTTGCCAACCACCACTGTAGCCTTTAATCTGTTCGAGAACGGTATCATAGTTTGTATAGATACCAGGCACTTTCCCACCTGCTACCGCGTAGTATACAATCTTCTTCGCGGAGAGATTGGGCTCCTGAACATATAGCCCAGCATTCCGCAGATCTTGCGGCAGGACAGGTTGTTTTGAGCTCGTCATCTGTTGCCTTGGTATGCTCTTCGTTGGCTCTGGGCTCGAAAGTATCTCGACTGGGTTGTGTTGAGTTCCGTACTGAGGCCCACTATAGGCTTGGGCGTGATCTTGCGTGGCAGAATGGACTCTAGGGCTGGTTGGCGATACGGCTTGTCTAGGTCGCTTTCTGAAGGCGTCAGGATGTTCTCCATCTGACTTTCGTTTTGTTGGCCTCTGTTCTGATGCGTCGTTTGGCCGCAATGCAGCCATAGGTGGAATATTTTCCATGTTCGACATTGGCGGGAGCAAGCTGTCGGAATGGTACTGCATGTACGTGGGGTACTCGACAGGTACGGTTATGGAAGAAGCGTAACGCAAAGGAGTGTAATGCGAGTACTGCGGCGGAGCGGCCGTGGGACCGGTAGTCGGAGGGGTATTATTCATATACGCGTCCAGCGCATAATCATCTATACAAGCGGTGTGAGCTCAAAATTTGGTTCGCGATTTCAACGGGGGACAGCCAACACGTACTGCGTGGGCACGGCGAGGTGATAAGAGGGATCGAATGCGCCATGGTATCAACTCACGATGCAAGGTCACCTCTCACTAAAGCCCATAGAGAACATAAATTGACTGATATAATCATGTATTATCGATGGATATGGCCAATAGGGACGAGCTCGATAGATGCAGCCGCGATGCGGGGTGCGGGAGCGATTATGAAAGAGGTGGTCGCGCTCCAGCCAACGCGACAAATCGCGTTGGCTATCGCGCTAGCGCAAGCTAATGTGGGGTCCCGCCTGAACATGTGGAGCGGAACGTCCGATACGTCAGACGTTTGCACAGAAGAGATGCTGGTAGCATAGTAGGCATGTTGGTCGGATCATTTCAGAACAGGTGCTTCATACCGAATGTGTTGTCGTGTTGCTATATCGGACATGTCCAGCGCAAGGCCATGAATCATTCTCCAGTGCTCATTATAGCTTCTGATGTAGCCCGACTACGACCTTGTCCCTTCTTTTGCATCTTGTTCGCCCTACCAGCCTTTGCCCGCCCATTCCCTAACCATCCTGGCTTCGCCGTGACAGGCTGTAGGAACCCATCGATGTGCACACCACCAAACGTCCGCTCTTCGTTGTCAGAATCGTTGGTTCTAGGGTCATAGCCGTGGACTCGCATGCAGTGCTCGACCACGCGATAAGGTAGAGCAAAGTCTTTTTCGTGCCCATAACAATCTACATGCGGACAACGCAATGTGCCGATCTGGAAGAAGGGTCGCTTAGGTGTTGGAGGCTGCGGGATTAAGGAGACGGCCGGCGGCGGTATAGCTGAAGGTGTGTAGAACACAGGCTCGGAAGCAGGCTTCAAAGCAAGAGTCTCGTGGAAGTGCATAAATGACATGCTCTCACCAAACAGAGCTGCGCAACGCTGAGCCGTACGTGCAATAGCTTCTCTGTCCCAACCCTGTACAGCAGCTAACCCAAGCACTTCACTCCAATCCATAAGGCCTTCCCTCAGCTGCAGTTCTTGTGTTTCTGAAGCATCGCTACCACCGATGCTGCTTGAGGATCTGCGACGTTTTCGTTCGCGGGTTATGTTGTTGGACGCCTCCCAGTCAGATGCTCCACTTGAGGTAGCATCACTATCGGGAGGCCTTCTTCCATCTTTGGCAGTCTTTGTTCCTGGTTGTGCTGTGTGAGCAGCTCGCGCCGATCTTGCACGCGAAGGAGGTCGGGTGCTTGATCCGCGACTTGTTCCACCCTTCGATCGGGCTCGTGATGTAGACCTTGACTCCGGCGCACTCGACTCTGCACCTGATGTGAAGTCACTCATGGAGGAATCTGCCGACCCGCCGCGACCGAAATGGTTGGCACGAGTTCGGCGGATAGCCAGTGCAAGCTCGTCTAGCTTTCCCATCATGGCCTGGATCGTTGGCTGTAGAAGCCGCTGTGTTCTCGCGTCGTCGGCTAGCAAAGTCGGCTCGGTGAGTCTCTCGTTACGAGGTTTCCTGCCACGTTTCTTTCCAGTCGCATGATGGCGTTCATCGTCGTCGCTATCGTCGTGTGCTTCGTCTTCATCTTCCGGTGGAAATGGAGCCATGGACGTAGAGCGCGACTGCGCGCGACTGGGGCTTTGAGATCGTGACTCGCTGCGTGAAGCTGTTGTGTAGTCGCCGGCGTCGGATTCAGACGAGGCCGCTTCCCGGGAGTTCCATCTCTCTTTGGCCAGTCGTAAAAATACAGCTTGAAGTTCGTCTCGGAGCTCATCTCCTACATCTTGTGTGCCTATGCCTGTGCCTGTGCCTGCAGAAGGCCATTCGACGGTCTGACCGCCCGCCATGCTATCGCCCAGCTCGTCGTCGGAGTCCAAGAGTGATGCTGGGGGCAGTGGCCATGCCGTCCACTCTTTGGAAGGCACCATTGCCGTCTGCACGAAGCCTGCCGCATCCTTGTATTCGAGGTCTTTGCCAGCATTCAGCCAGTTGTCCCTACTCTGCCAGTTTTCGAGCTGCGCCGTGGCTTCCTCGGGTCGTCGTAACCGCCGCTTGAGCGCATGGGCGTTGTACAGATGTGCCGCAAGATCTGTGTCTTGGATCTGAGCGAGCGAATCTGCTACCTGGCGATCGGCCTCGGTGAGGCTCTGCCATGCTTGGGGTTGGCCGAGAAAGCGGTTCGGGCGCACCGGTTCGTCGTCGTCGTCGTCGTCTTCTTCTTCTTCTTCCTCTTCCTCCTCGTCGGGTTCGTCCCGTGCGGACCCGCTATCGGTGTCTAGGTCATCGTCTATGTCGAGTGATATCGGCACATGGAGATTTGGTGCTTCTTGCGCGTTGCGCGGGTCTAAGACCTCCTCAACTGACGGCGATGAGCGTGCAGAAGGAGAAGAAGGAGGTGACGACGAGGCATCAGATACGTAAGAGGAGCGAGATGGCGCGGCGCTACCACCAAACAACGACATCTTCGTTGCAATAAAGGTCAAAGCGAGCTTGTGGCTGTCGTGGTATCAGCATCTGCCTTCTGCGATCCATCCCTCGTCGCGCTTCAGCGTCGCGGCCAAATTATGGCGGGGTTCTCGAAAACGACGCGCCGTCACGTTGGCGCTATCGGCCTGGGTCGCTACCATCATTCCACAGCACATGTCCCACTCCCAACTGGGTATCCCAGAACACAGCTACAAAGCGATCTTCGTCTTACATGGCTTCTCGGTACCTTGGCTTATCCAACGTACCCAGCCGGCGGATTACTGCAAGTGTAGTTGAGGAAGTACTAGCGAATACCCACCGTTGGATCTGCACCTAGCCATCAGCAAGGCTAGACATTAACCGTCTTTTCTACCGCGGGCTCTAACCACACATCAACACCAACAACTTATCCTGTCATAATTTCACCGACATCAACTGCGCGTTGCGCGCGTCGCAATGTAAGACACATGATGCTAGCTTCCCATTGAGAATAGTGGCGACACTGTTGACATCTACCATCACGTATCGCCCCGTCTCGAAAACAGGGTAACCTTCTCCGCAATATCATCATTGGTAGGTGATACCAAGGACGCCCTGCACTGCCGTATTTCCAAGCCCTGCGGAGGCGCATCCACTGTGACACATGAGCGTGTACAGAACTTTCATGGCTAGGTAAGAACTCTGTTGGAAGCAGAACGAGAATGATTAGAAACATAGATTACGCAACGGTTACACCTGTAGACCTCCACGCAGCTTCACGGTGGGTGAAGTCAAAACCTCCTCTCATTTCGTACACACCGTCAATGCTCCGGAGATGCCACCGAAGATCGTGCCAACGACAGACTCTCGACAAACCACGAACTCCTCCAAGAGTCGGGCGAACGCTCCGAACGCGGCGCTTCAGCGGGGTCAGCATGAGCAATGGCATTAAGACAGCGGCAAGACTCATCAAAGTACTGCGCCTGATCTGGAGAAGAGTCCAACGGTCAGCAATACCGGTGATCAATGTCAAGGCACAAGGTCCGCGCTCTTGCAATCGGCACTAGAGAGCATCACCCAAAACCATCAGGCACCATCACAAACTTAGCTTTGGTAGTACCATACTGCACTTAAACGCTCTTGTACAGCTTCCTTCTAGGCTTCAGATAGTGAAACCGCAAGCTATTCGACATCCTAGCCCTTGATTCCTACGCATCGAATGCAATAGCCACGGCGCTACGTCAGCACGTGAGACCCCGGCCCAGTCCCCTATTGACGGGCTGTTGCCAACCCGCATGAACTTAGTCGTGATGCTTGTCGTCGATTGTTCCGACAGTGCGATCTTACTTTTAATTACACTTCAGCTTACACAGTAGGACCGAGCCGGAAGAGCCACCGCATATACAATCACTCGCTATGTTTTGACCATATAAATACAACACGTCTGGTGGTCGGTAAGAGAAGTATTACCACACACTCCTTACCTTTCTTATCTCCCTGCAAACCTACTCCAGTCATGCGTTCCTTTGCTTCTATTGCCGCCGCCGCGGTGGTCGCCCTTCCTTTGGCCATCGCAGCGCCCAACAAGGCCAACAAGATGGATGCCAGCTACTATAAGCCGGAGCAGGTTATCGATACCGATGTCGTGATTATTGGTGGGGGTGGTATGGGTGCCTACTCTGCTATCCAACTCAAGGACGCAGGAAAGAGGGTTGTGGTCGTTGAGAGCAAATCCCGTATGGGAGGTCACACAGAGACTTACATGGATAACGAGACTGGAATTCCCATTGATATGGGTGTGAAGCTATACCACGACGAACCTTTGGTGCACCAATGGTTCGCACGCTTCAACCTTTCCACTACCCGGTTCAGCATCCCTGCTCTCCCGACGCAGAATGTTGACTTCAGGACTGGGCAGGTTTTGCAGGGTCTGCCTGCTCCTAACCAGACAGCCATGGCTATTGCTCTGCAGAAGTACGGTGCGGTTCTCGCCAAATATCCTCAACTCGAGGGTGGTTTCTATTTGCCAGATCCCGTTCCCGAGGATCTGTACATGCCCTTCGGCCAGTTCGTCCAAAAGTACGACATCGCTGATGCGGTACAAACCATCTTCGGTCTCACTTCCGCCTTTGGTGACATCCTCGAGCTCCCCGCTCTGCAGCAGATGCGCACCTTTTCCCTTGGTCTCTTGAAGACTATGCAGAACTTTCAGACCAGCTCGGTAATGGACAACAGCCTTCTTTTCGAGAAACTTACAGCCGAACTCCAGGCTACCAACTCTGTTCTTCTATCCTCTAAAGTCACCAAGACGCAGCGTGTGAGCAAGGCTGATGGCGGCGTCAAGGTCCTTGTCGAAACACCGATGGGCTGCCGTCTCATTCAAGCGAAGAAGATCCTTATGGCTATCCCCCCTACTCCCGAGAACCTCGCCAAATTCGACCCTAGCGGCGATGAGTTGAAGATTTTTAACCAATTTACATCTGTCGGATACTACACCTCTATCATCAGAAACGCTGGCCCTACGAACATCACACTCCAGAATCTCGCTCTTGACAAGCCATACGCGCTGCCACCCATGCCTGCTATCTACAATGTCAACCCCACCGCCAACCCAACTCTAAGTCTCGTCTACTACGGCACCAAGGTTGGTCAGCATCTGAGCGACGAGGAGGCTAAGGCTGCGATCATCGCGGACCTTAAGCGCTTCCAGGCTGCCAACAATATGACTGAGACTGAGCCGGAGTTTGTCGCATTCAGCAACCACAGCCCATACAACATGTTGGTCGGTGAGGAGGCTACCCGCGCCGGATTCTACAAGCACCTGTACGGACTGCAAAGCAAGCGCAACACTTTCTGGACAGGTGCCGCGTGGAGGGCGCATGACAGCTCTTCCAGCTGGGCTTACACCAGCCAGAGCGTGCTACCTCAGCTTTTGGCAAGCTTGTAGATGGAGCAAGTATATAGTGGCGGATCACTATGCTGATGGACAACAACCGGGCTGTTTCCTACTGCTTTGGTCGATTCAGATATCTCCATTTATACGCTAATATAATGTCTTCAATATTTGTATTATTAAACTATCCTTGATTAGCACATTGCAGTCTTGTTCAAGCTTGATGTGACTTCATACAGCAATTTCGAGCGCGTGCTATAGGATACAACAATCTATCTATGATACTTGACTGGTACATGGGTCCCTGACTGTTACTAGTCTACCATGGTCCCTATCTAGACCAGCACGCTAGACTACTCATCCGATACTTCCTACCCTCGTGCACTTCGACCCGAAAATCCTCTCATGATGGCTTCAACATCCGCAGATCAAATCCGACCCGAAGGCAACCACTCTCTTTCCACGCCTGTTCGATTCCTCATACTATCTGACACACATGGGGCTAAGTTACCAGAAAATCTGCCACCATGCGATGTGCTGCTTCATTGCGGCGACTTGACCGAAGACGGCACCCCAGAAAGCATCTCTCTAGCCCTCCAACATCTAGGCAAGGTTAAAGCTAACCTGAAACTTGTCATTAGTGGCAATCACGAAATATCGCTGGACAAGTCCTACTGGCTGTCCCAGGGCGGAGAAGAAGCTGATGCAGAACGAGCGCTCGGAATGGTGAGCCCGAAGGCAAGCTCAGAGGCGAGCGAGAATGGCATCACGTTCTTATGGGAAGGTACATATACCTTCACGCTAGCATGCGGCGCGACTTTCAGGATATACGCATCACCATACACTCCTGTCTACGGCACATCGGCATTCCAGTATCATTCTAAGGAAGACCGATTCAACTCTGCAGGCACCCCGTCGTGGGCTCAGAACGTTGGTACCGAGACCTCGACCATTCCCAACAACGTTGACATCGTCATGACCCACGGCCCAGCGAGATACATACTTGACGAGATTGACGGTCATAGTGCGGGGTGTGAACATTTGCGACGCGCTATCGCGAGGGTGCAACCACGATTGCATTGCTTTGGGCACATTCACTCGCCGCGTCGCGGCTTCTACGAAGCGCATGTGCTGAGGCACGAAGGACAAACGGTGCTGGAAGGCGATCCCATTGGATCGATATCGAAAGTATGGATGGGAGAGAATTCATGTCGTAAGAAAGGATTCAGAAGCTTGACTCCGGGCGCCGCTCAAGAATTTCGAGAGAATAAGCAGCAGACTCTGTGCGTCAACGCAGCAATGGAGGGTGATGAGCCAGGCGTGCTTGAACACCCACCTTGGCTGGTCGAGTTGGATTTGCCCGTGCAGACACTGTAGAGATGGCATGGCACGGTGGGATATACGGCCGGCAATATTTTGAGTCTCATTTACGTGCGTAAGCTCTTGAGAGACATGGGAACACCTGGTTGGTCGAGCTTGGACATTGTGGGGCGCTGCAGCTCGCAGTCCGTGGAAGCCGGCGAGGCGTCCCAGATCGCATGATGCCTATCTCGCGGTCGGTAGTAATGACCCCCGATCATGGACATATTGAGTTATCCGGTGGGCCACTATGCATCCAATTCTACAGCTCATTGGTGCATCGCAAATGCCATAAGTAGTAGGGTTCGCATAGTATTGAGGAATGATGCATACAAAGGTAGAAGGCTCGCTGCTTATGCCTTTGGCTTAAGGATAGTCATCTCCAGCGCATCGAAGCCCCTCATTGACAAACTCATAACTAAGATTCCCTTTCAATCAAACCAGCAACACACCTAAAATGGCGGCATCTTCTTCGCTCACGCTTTATCGTCCAGGGCCATCAAATGCGCTGTCAACACGTTCATACTCAACCTCGCTCATCTCGTCGCGTCTGTTCAGCCAGCAGACTGGTACAGCAATCGCGACTGAACTCCTCTATCGTATACTCATCGACATAATCAACCGCTTCCTCTGTTCTTTCCAGCGCCTCGCTTCCCGTGGCATCGACGAGGCCTCATCCTGGATGGAGCGCAAGCTGCAAGAGCGCCGCGACAACCTCAACGCTGCCAAGGCCAGTGCCAGAGAGGGTCTAAAGATAGTTGAAGAGGTGGGCAAATTAGTTGAAGACCGTGGCTTTCTAACTTGCCCAATGACGGGTCATGCCATGGATGCCACAGCAGAAGGCAAGAGGGAACTACCTGGGCCGCCACAGTGGATCCGGGGAGTACTCGCTGGTATCGATGAAGGAAGGATGGTAGAGAGAGACTTTTGGATCCACACGCATACCGGATGAGGATGGGACACCGATGTATACGAAACGGTATCATCAAGAACTAGGTGATTGGCGCGGCGCTGTACTGGTCCCAGACATGCGCTGAAGGTTGAATCGCATCCATGAAGCGTCTGTTACCACAGAATGGCTCTATTCCAGGGTAACCGCCCTTTGCTGCAAGCCACCAGCTCGATAAGAGCGTTCTTCCGGCGGCCACTGAAGTTGCGAAAGTTTCTTCGAGTGCCATCTCAACGCAATCGCAGCATCCGAGAACGACTTCGAAATGATTCTTCCAAGTCTGAGGGCGATTCTTCGAATCATGTCCGTGGCAGGACTGAATCACGACATTACCTTGATGAGCTCTCTATGATACCCAAAGGTTGCACATAGTCCTACGAGGGCGCTCTAGAGGATCCGGACTCTTTTGATAAGTTTTGCATTACTTGTCAGCCCCCAATATATGCGCATTTCTAATGTAGCCACCGCATCGACCATGAATTCCCACATCTTTGATTCGAACACCTAGCTTATCGTGCGCTCTACTTTTTTACAATAGCTATCCTGCCAATACCATGTGTGTCTCAACCTACTTCCTCGCAACTATCATTATCTCCTAGGCTGTTTAAATATGTGACATGTTGTCTACCTGCCGTGCTGCTACAACAGCATCCCGTAGGTGGCTTATTTCTAGTACTCTTGTCCTGCCGAGTATTGCTGTCCAGCTATCTCCTTTGGAGCATATGTGTCTACCGAGTACAGTGCCCATGCAGCACGCCATATAGCCTCCATGTTACCTTGCAGCCGGCACGAGTGGGCATCAGAGGTGGTGCATAGCGGACTAAGAGCAATCCCAGCAACGGGAGTGAGAAGCTTTGCGCGGTTAGTAGCGGAGCAGGCGCTTTTATCTATCGCTGTCAACGTTTGAGTGTCGGCGTTCACTGCAGGCGCGAATGCGTAGCTTGCTGCTGGCAGAGTTGCAAGTCCGACACCCACTTCATTAACAGTCAGCATGTAGGCCATCTTAAACTCCTCGCAAAGAGAGCGTCATTATTGATGTCGACGATGAAGATTTTGACTTGAAGAACATGAAGTCACGTCATAGCTCACTGCTCACTGCTTCTCAGACACAGACTTGCTCAGCTCATCTAGACTGACTCGACTTACAGCAGGATTTTCTCTAAGGCGATCAAAGCTCACACTATATAAACAAAGCTTTTGGTTGCTTCCCACGCCTATCTTCTGCGATTGTTGTTTTAAGAAGCTCGCCAAAAACCTCTTTAGTTGTCACCTAGGTACATCAGAGCGCCATGCTCAAGAGGTCTTGCACATTGAGGATGTAAATATCCATGTCTGCTGTGAGGAGAGCGCATAATCCAATCTTTTGTTTTATGTTATGATCTTCTCGCTTCTATTCATGCTCGCTTGTCTGTTCTTCTCCTACACCGTCGCACTGGCTGTTCAGCTCAACCTCAGTGACTGCAATCAAGCCAAAACGCGTCTCGCACACTCTCAATTGCTGCCTTGTGTGCCCGATTTCCGAGTCGCTCTCACCTGAAGTTGCCGCTCGGACCATGTCGCTTTGCGTGCTCCTACTGGGTGGATTTCCACCTTCACCTAGCCATGCCCGCGCGTCCGCCCTTCCACTACCGACGAAGACCTTCTATACCCGCTCTATTGAGCCCACCTACACCTCACTGTCACCGGCAGAACCCCGGCCGGAGCTTGAGTCCCGGCTCCTAGCGTTGTCCGCGCTTGGGCCAGTAGTTCGCATATATAAAGGACGTTTCCACCCTTCCACCTACACTCTTTTTCTACTAGCAACAACAAATTCTACCTCAATTCAAACCTCTCTATCATCCTGTCACTTTACGTTATATCAAACTTTCTTCTCCAACTTAATTCGACCATGGCTCAACACTCCAACACCACTCCGGATCACTTCGATTTTGTCACATGACATCACACCTTCACTTGCATATCTCGGCCACTTGCAACGTTATGAGCATCACTCTTCCTCAATTAACATCACTGCTCAACAACACTCACACCTTACTTGGTCATCGACACTTCAATCAACCTTGGTCCAACCTTGATCCAACATGACCTCTATCGATGATCATCAACAACCTTTGATCACCCTGAGCCATGGTCAATCATTCGCCTTCCTCTTTCGACTTTGAGCATGGTAACTATCCTCTCCCTCCGTCGTTTCTTCCCCCATCTTTCTTTTCTTATTATCAGCCTGCTAACCTTTTCAAATTCAGCATGCTGCCTTCGGACCGCTTCAACCGCTTCAGCTCTCCACCATAGAGCCTGCTCAGCATCCTCAAGCCCTATTCAGGCCGCCTTCCACACATCACGGCAGCATCGCATGCTCACGGCCGCTCGAGTCGTACAACGTCAGGAGGATTAGGTACAGGGTGCAAGACGGATTGCAGGTGGCCCTACGAGCAGCGGATGGAGGATTGGCATACTGGTGGGAAGTGCAGGACTTATGGTCAAGACAGTAAGAGACGGAATATACAGATCTCGCTGGGATCTCGCTTTGGGCCTACAAGGCTGCTTCGGCAGACCTCATGGCTGGTGGTTGATGATCTGGAGGACATTCATTCTCACATCAAAGTGCTGGAGGACAGACAGTCTATGGTGCTTCGGTACTAAGCTGGGCCTACCTTGGAGATGTTAGTCCGCTAGCCTGTCGTTCGTCGCGGCCCAGATCATCACCCCTGCATACCTCGATGGCGGCCCTTATGGGTCTGGATCAACTTCGAGAAATGCAGCATGCGAAAGGTTATGAGAGACTCGAGGTGAACATACCTGCAGTCGGTGGTCGATGTTTGGGTTGGGTTTGAGAGCTTTGGACATTGTGCTGATGGCTGGTGGATTTGGGCTTCATCGGGTTGGATTGAATCTTGGTTGGACTTGGGTTGGACTTCACTCTTTCTTCTTCTTCATGGTATCGCCTCAGCATCAATGCATCCATTTGCCTCACAAGACCTCTTCTTTTGTTTGCTTGACTTGACTTCTTGATCAATCACCTTTTTCTTCATTCGTTCTCCTTACTTGATATGGCTGCTCTCTCTCAAGAACCCCTGTTGGCTTGATTGTGTCTTTTACCAACTTCACTTTTGACTTGATTATATTTTCGTCTCTAGCTTGGTGCTTCTTGCACAAGATGTGTCACTTCATTCAACCTTAGGTTTCTCCTACTTTCGACAGTGTTATGCCTCTAATTCTACCTAATGTATATACCTTTGCTACGTACTCTTACATCACAGACTATGTCGCATGCTACTAATATGCATTATAATGTAGTTATTGTCTATGGGAAGTACCTGAACTTAAGTTGCGGCTGCGTTCTTAAACATGTCTTCTCCTAGCCCACTTGCTCAAATACTCCCTTCCCTCAAGTCTCCAAGTATCCTCCTCAACATAGCTCCCATTGTACCCTCTCCCCTTTGCCTGGATAACAAGATCAAATCCTTGTGCACTCTCGTTGTACTGCGGCCACAGTGGCAGTGCTTTGCTATTAGGATCACCACTAGCAACAAAGTTAATCCATTGCGCGCTCATCTGATTGCTTAACGCTCTGTACTCCTCCCACGGCCCATAGAAGTTGGGGTTGGCGAAGACAAAAGCCACCTCTGTGAAGTGCGCGACACCCTTGTATGCGCGCGCGCTGCCGCCTTCATTAGCAGTGTTGTTGTTCTGCCAGGGGAGCGTGTTGAAGCGGTAAATATACGTGGGCGAGTATTTGGAGTAAGCGCGGGCGTCCGTGAGGCGGGGTGCATGGTAGAATGCGTCGCCCATGATGGCAGCTATGCGCTTGTACTGGAGACCCTGCTCTGCAAAAAGCTGCACGCCGGTGTTAAGGGGTATGCCCAGGGTGGGGTCGTTGGGATAGAGCTCCATGATATGCTGGACAACCGTATCAGGGAAGTCGAAGCCTGTGCTGCCGGCGAGGTAGGCACGAAGATCTTCGTCGGTGTTGATGACACCGTCCGCAGGCGCGTTGTCGGTACCTTCATCAGAGTTGGTACCGTAGAGGTGGGGGATATGAGCGAAACGGCCTGAAGCGAGCAGTTCCGTAGGATAGGCAGGAATGATGTCTCCATCGACAGTCGGGTACCAGCCGGGACCTTGAACCGGAGCCGCAAGTAACGGGAACATAATCTCATAAGGCACTGTGCGCAGGCACTCCAGTGTGTCAACTTCATTAGAGCAGTTCGTTTTGTTAACGACGTTGTCGTAGATGGGCTGATACCAATCAGTACCTAGAAGGCGCGTGTGCCAATTTAGTGTGTGTCAATCACATAGAGTTCTACAGGGACATCTCTTACTCACCATTGTACCAAGCCGTTGCCGCAGATCCGGACTCTTGTATGCTGCGGTGAAACAAGCCATCTGTACGGCCACCGTAGGACATGAGTAGCTGGCCTACTGCAAAGCTTCCAGCAGACTCGCCCCAGATGGTCACTGTGTTCTTGTCGCCGCCAAAGGCTCCAATGTTCTCTGAGATCCAGGCGAGTCCTTTGCGCATGTCGCGAAGTGAGAGGTTTGTCTGGCCGGTACCCTGGATCTCTCGAGAGTACATCATACCCCATCCGCCTTTACGGTAGTTGATACTAGCAGCAATGATAGGTCGACCAATCTCTACGCTTCGCTGGACAATATATGTGAGGTTATAATTCGCAAGCGCGCTGGTGCCAACTTGATAACTGCCTCCATGAATCCACAATGCAACTGGCAGCTTCGCGTGATCGCCAGCTGAAAAACCAGCTGGGCGAACAATATTGATGCTCAGACAGTCTTCGCTCATGCTGAAGCTAGTATCTGATGGGTCTGGACAGGTATCTCCGTATGATTTGGCGGGGCGCGTGCCGTTCCATGTCGAGTTCAAAGACTGTGGTATGCGAAAACGATTCTGACTTCCGGTATCTTGCGCATACGGAATGCCTAAGAAGAGGTCCTGATTGAACGAGGGAAGATGTAAGCCTTCGTATGTTCCATTCAAAACAGCGACTGTAGGCCCCGCGGCACTCGCTATTGTTGTCAGGAAGCACGTTGCTAAGACCCCCACTTTCCAAGCTCTTGTGATGGTTGCCATGATGCTGACTGGTACCTGGCGGGAAGAATACTGTAAGGAACTTGAATGCGGAGAACCTGTACTTGTGTGTCGTAGCTAGCTGCATCCCGAATCTAGCGATGATAGGGCATATCTTTAGAAGCACCGAAAAGGGCCTGCATCGTGACGTGATAGCCCTCCCACTCTTGTGGTGGACAAGCACATCCAGCGCGATCGGCAGTGCATGTTCGGCAGTCCGCGCCAATCAGGAAGGTCAGTACGAACCTTGCATATCTGCGAAGTTTCCGACGCATACAAGCTGCAAGTTCTTGTCACAAGCACACAACATCGCGCAATTCCGAGGTTGATAATCGCGGAACCGGAATCTGAGACCTGAGCGATGGTAGCCTAGAACAGCTTCGATAGAAAGCTTTTTCTCTTTTTTCCTGTTTCTTTCTCCGGTAACCCTGTCGCTGTGTTTGGTGCAGAGAGTAATGCATTCCCAGGTAGCTCTACTGGCATATTTGCAACACCGTAGTGCGGCGTCTTCTCCACGAATGCGACAGCTGGTACCGCATTCTGCTGTATAGGGCTTGTGTATATAGGCAATGGTGAGCTCGGTGCCGATTGTGGCGACACCGGAACGGCCATAGGTAGCCGCGAAGCATTGATGATATGCGTTGACTGCGGTTGAAGATATGTTTGCGCTGGCACTTGTTGCGCATGCGCATATGATTGTGCCTGTAGCGGAACGGTATGTTGCATTCGTGAGTGCTCAACGGCCCAGAGATCGAATACTTCAGTCATGAGTCGCATCCATTCTGAAGGAGCTCCTTGGAAGTTGTACTTGACGGTCCGGTCCTGGAATGCGATGAAGTAGTGTTGCTTGTTATACGGCGAAATGGCGACGTACTGGCAACATCAGTGCTGCACTCATGCGATCAATCGGAACATATCCTCTGTGCTTACATTGACTGTACCCGGCGCAGCTTCAGCAAGGACCTTATTCAAAGAGTTGTAATAACCTCTCAAGTTCCACGCCAAATCGCCGTTTGAGAACAAGACGAACCAAGCGTCTTTCATTCCAATGCCAACACAAGTTGGTGTAACTAGCGACTTCTTCACTCTGCTCTCAAGGTCCGAAGGTATACCGGCCCATATCGAGCCATGTCCGGGTGCGCATGCGAAGTAGCTGAAGTTCTGGCCAAAGGTCACAAAACAGGAGCGGGCCGCATTTGGGAACGACTTGATCCATCGCGCGAGGTCAGGATAGTTGACATCGAAGTACGTTTGCGAGTGGACTGTGTTTGATTAGTTTCCATATTGGACAAAAGGGGCCTGGCCCGCACCGCCATCTGCCATGCGTTTCATGGCCGCGGAGTTTAGGCCGGGGCAGGCACTTACAGAGCTTATCCTCCCCATCTAAAGTCTTGCAACCTGCATACCAGATCGGCTCTGGGGAGTCTATCTGGGGCGCGAGGGCGAGGCAATAAGGGCTAGCGATTCTCCATTCTGGGCTCATGGAGCTATTGAACAACTGACGAAGCGTATGCGGGATTTCATGACTGCACGCTGTTAGCCATGCCTCGCGTCTTTCTTTACCATGCTTACAATTTCCAGGTTTGAGGACAGTCGAAGAAGAAGCTGTTTCGCGGCCCAAATACAAAGGATATCTCCGGCATCTTGTTAATTACACGCGCCGCAAGACTGTACAGGCGAGACAGAGAAAGGAAGCTGCGATCATGCGCACATTGTGAGGCGTCCGCCCAAGGACGTGGCGGGCTTTGGGGGCCGCAACCAGCAACACCAATTGGTGATACGAAGCCGGCAGCACGCATGCATATGCCTCACACATGCAACGGCCTCGAAAACATGTACAGATATGCATCGCATGCCTAATCTCACATCTAAGCGAACAGTAAGACTTAATCGACAGCCGGATCAACACCACCTCTCTTTGCTGCTTCGACAGACCACATATCCTCCGTAATCCAAGGCGGAACAGATCTCGGCCTAACCGCCAACCCCTTGTAACTTTCGAGCTGTTGCTTTGGCACCACGAACACAAAGCGGAAGTTGATCATGCGAGAGTATTGCTCAAGATCGACAGCAGTCTCACTCCAGAATTCCATGTTATTGAATGGGTGCGTGCGAAACAGGCCATCAACAAGGAGACGAACAACGACTGTTGATTGCCGCCGCATGTGTCGCATCGTGCGCTGAAAGAAATCCTGGAACTTGCGGCCATTTGTGATGGGACTGCTTTGCGAGAGTTCAACAGAGAACAACGTGCCTATTCGGATGTTGCGGTCTTTGTCACCGCTAAACAACCATGGTAGAATGACATTGGCTGATGCTCCTGTTTCTTCAATCTCTGCTGCACGACACTCACCAATGAGTTTAAGCAGGTGTTTGATGAAATATAAGGCGCTGTCGTAACGGTTCGGGTTGATGCGAATGGTCAGCACTGGGGGGCCTAAAATTTCAATTCTTCGACGGTGCAGGATAGGACCAGCTTCTTCTGCGACTTGCTTGCATGTCTGGAGTATTGCTGAGTGTAAATAATCGTAGTAGATTCGGGCATTAGTGAGAGGGAGTTGGCGACGCGTAGTTCCTATGATGTTGTCGTATATCATAAGTCGAAGTTCCTTCGGGAGTCTCATGAAGAGATGGAACGTAGGATGGCTTGAACTTGTCAGCGGATGCAACTTAACCGTTGGCTCAGTCTCTAGAAGACGCACATGATGCGATTCGTTCGCAGGGATTTGGCTTGCCTTGTAGCTTTGTCAGACTTGGATTGGGTGGGGAGAAGGACACATTTGAGCTTTTTGGTAACATGGCGTAGCATTCTCGGGCCAGACAGGCAATATCTGCATCAACAATCAGCGACTGTAGTAGAAAGGTAAGAAAACGAGATGGCGGATTGCCAGAACAGTATAGTGTGTAGCATCTTCACGACAACAGTTGCGTGATGTTTGCATTCTTCCAATGCTTTGAATTGTAGAAGTACAGGAAGTGATAGAAAAACATCATATGCGACCACAACCCTAACCTCCCACACAACAAATAGTGTGATGTATGTCGTTCCAAACTCCGGCCGTGCATTTCTCAAGTCCTACCATCTTTCTGGATGTGAACCAGCCCATGTACTTTGTCATAGACGTCGCGAGCCTCAGCAACCAGCTGCTCCTTCTTGACCCGAGGTGTCAAGTGACGTTGCCCTACCCAATTTACGAGACACTCAATCTGTCCGTCACTCCCAGCCTTGTGCGCTTGTATCCGCTTACAGGGCCACTCCCAGCTCGCGTCTTCACCTGCCTTCAAAGATCAAACGCCCCAGCCTTCCTCCATCGCTCCGTGCTCCTCCTCGTGATCCAGAGCCCATTGACGAAAGAAAGCAGCCATCCATGACTCTTCTCCAAGCGGATAGTCATCAGGATCAATTTCGCGGGATAGGACGTGAGTATGGTTGAGCTTGGGTGCGCTAAGCTCTGGGCCATAGCGATGGCGAGTATCCTCGACGTTAACGGCGAGCAAGAAAGGGTCAAGTAGCTCAGCAAGGTCAAGTCCCGGGTGGGATTGCCATCAGTATCGCTTCAACGTTGTGCGAACATGAGTGAGGGGGATTTGCTCGGTGTTATTGTTTTTTGATAGCGTATAGGCGTCACCCTGTTGAGCAAGCTGGCGAAGGGCATCTTTAATGCTACCAAGCATCTCTTTAGCACGGACTGACATCACAAGCGACCCTGCCGGCGTATCCCCACTTGCCCCAGCGGCAAACAGCTCGCAAGCATCCGGTCGTAGGGGAAGGTAGGCGCCACGGCACTGCAGCGGACAGTTTGTGCTCGAGGAAAAGTGTCTCGATGTACTCCCGGCAGAGAACATGAGAGCGTCCCATTTTGACTAGTGCCACTTCCTTGCCATCATTTGAGGTGCAACTGTTCTCCTCCAAACAGATCGGGCGTTGTGCTCTCTCCACCACTAGCTGCCTGGTAGCACAGATGATGGTCATTGAGCGAGGACATGGCTTCACGCTCGATTTGCGTTTCGAGGGAGGCGATTTCAGAAGCTCCTGGTCAAGCGATGGAGTCTTGCACTTCCCGGGACTCGTCCATAGGCCAGTAACGTCAGTACTGATGGTATCGAAGCAAGGAAAGGACATCCTGGAAGGCTATGATCGCAATGTGCCAAGGTTCTGAAGACCAGACCAATGGATGGCGAAATATCACAGGAAGAGCATCATTCAAGGCTCGGAGGTAGGCTTGCTTGGCGTCGAAGCCTGAGATGAAGTGCGCGAGATTACAATCTTTGAAATAGAGGAAACCGCGTCGTGCCGCAACTTCTCCGCATGGGAAAGAACGTCTCGTGGAGATACGCGAATGGCAGGATTGGCAGCCAGCATACAGAGGTAACGGAGGAGCGAAAGACAACAGGTGCTGCAGGATGAGTAGGACACCAGAAGGGGCTTGCCAGCGGCGTCATTAACCAACATGTTGTACGATAGGTACTTTCTTCTCTCTTACAATAGGTATCTCCTCCTCGTAAATCTCCTTCACTTGTGTACCAGGAAATTCCTTCCTGAGCTCTTCACCTAGAAAGTGTATACCCCAGTCCTCAGCTTGCCGATGCCCCACGCAGGCTACCGACATGCCCAGCGCTTTCGCGGCTTCTATGCCACTGGCTCTTGGTTGGCCAGTCAAGTAAAGGACATGGCTACCATCTCCACCTTCTGCTATCCAGCCACGCTCCTGAGCCATTGCCAACACGCGATGCACCTCGTCCTCGTTAAACGCGTTCATGATCGCGACGATACTAATCTCGCCCGAGCGCCCTTCTTGCGCGAGTTCTGACTCACCAAACTCGACCTGTATGCGACCAAGAAGTTTGTGAAGAGGTGTAGAGACCTGGCCTACAATCCCAATCTTCCTCTGAGGGTCTCCCTTGTAGCCCTGGACACAAAGACAGTCTGTCGTCTTTATTCCCAAACGTTCTGCCAGCACCGTGTTCCAACCCACCGTGAGCACCTCATCAAAAGACGTGTGACTCGAAAGTACGAGCGTCCCTTTGCGCACACTGCGCCTATCGAGGTTGAAGGGTCGATGCAGTAAGCACAGCGTCCGTGGCGGCCGAGGATATATCTTGGGGATGGTGGCCGTTGCGCCGATCGTGCTCTCGTCTAGTGGGTAGCCGATCAATGAGTAGACGCCTGGCGTAGGAGTAACGCTCAGCACAATCTGCTCGACTACAGCCGTCTGGGCGTCGTATCGAGGATGTCGTGGTACGTGGTAGAGTCGCTGGACATCGTTCTCTTTCAGTGGTAGAAACGTCTCGACGAAGCGCGTCACAGCCGCGTGTGTGGGCTTCTTCGGTCGCGACATTGTGAGGATGGAGGTCAGTAATCTGTTCATTAGCACTGATCAAAAAAAGACCTTCGAAAGCTTTGCGACTTTTGGCTTCGAGTACGTCATCATCGCTTGTAAACCATGAAGCGGTAGGCGTTCGAACTCCGCCCTGTTCTCCATCACGAAAGTCGCCACCAGATGCACGTCTGGAAACAATAGAGCGCGTTCTGAAGACTGTGTTCGTCACGCATGCTGTGAAGAGCAGTTGAAAGTGGCATTGTAACAGCCTTCAACGCGCTCTGATCCGACGGAAAGAGGCTAATCCCATTGCGGTCTAGTCTCAGAATACCAGCCATCCCACCCGTTTGCACATAGATGTCTCAATACCATACAGCTTGTATAGAACTTTGATCCCTTGGTTATGGCGCTGGAACGGTTGCAGCAAGTCTACCAAGCCGTGACCATCCATGTCCATAGTCAACGCTGTGACTAAGTGCACTATTTCCCTCGGCTTCTCTATCTTTCGCTCGAGTTCGCTCCGAACATCGAGTCATACCTCACCTGCCATTCGACTTTCTCTTCTTGGATTTCAGTCGCGCAGTCTTGTCACTATGGGAGTTACCACAGCTATTACTCCAGCCATTGTAGGCGCTTTACGATGCCAGAAAGATTCTTATCTGCAAACGCTCGACACGGAAGTCGTATCGTGCGAGGAATTCGTGCCGCCAAAGTCCTCACAGCCAAATGGCAAGTCAAAGACGAAGAAGTCCACGGATCCGACCAAGGGCCTTGAGAATGGGGATGTAGCAGGAAGCAAAACATGGCTTGTTGAGCTCGCGGACTCAGTACTATTCCCAGAAGGTGGTGGCCAGCACACAGACTACGGCGTGCTCACCATCCTCAAAGACGAGCGCAAAGAAGCTATCCCGATAAGAAATATGCAACGTCATGGTCTCCGTTGCATCCACTTCTCCCCTGCACCACTTGAGCCTGGAACACCAGTTCGTCAAACTGTCGATTTCGCCCGTCGCTGGGATCTCATGCAACAGCATACCGGTCAGCATCTCCTCTCCGCCGTCATGGACTCTATGGATCTGCCCACCCTTGGGTGGAGTATGGGTCAATCTGGAGAGATGAACTACGTCGAACTGCCACGGAAACCGTCAGAAGAGGAGCTTCAAACCATCCAAACGGAATGCAATGCCAAGATCAGGAAGAGTATGCCTATTACAGTGGAAACACCAGAAGGCAAGGGAAGCGACAGCCTACCAGAAGACTATGACAGAGAGAAAGGCGTTGTACGGTTCATCAAGATTGGTGACATGGATTATAACGCTTGTTGCGGGACGCATCTGCAAAACTCGTCGCACATCAACATCATATTATTACACCATATGCAGTCCGTACGAGGTACCAACTGCCGGCTGTTCTTCACCGCGGGAGATCGTGCGATAAAGATGGCTACCGAGTCGATCACCGGTCTTCGCTCCATTGCTGTGTCATTATCATCTGGTTCTGCCCCTGCAGACGTCGCGGCTGGTGTGCAAAGGATAAGTGACCAAGTCTCCGAAGGACGAAAGAAAGTCAACAAGTTACTAGCTGAGATTGCAGCATTTGAGGCAGGCCGCATAAGGAGCCATTTGCAAGGCCAGACCACCGCATTCATGCATCGTGGAGCGGATGGTCTCGATTTCATCAATCTAGTCCTTTTTGAAATCAAGGATTTCGTTAAAGAGCGAGAAGTTGTTGTTGTGCTGTGTTCGGGTGAGATTAAGAGCTCCGGATCCATTGTTGTGTTTGGCAAACCAGACTTGGTAGAGAAGATGGCCGTGAAGGTTAAGGAAGTTGTGAGCACAGCGAAGGGTGGCGGCAAAGGTGAGAAGTGGCAAGGCAAGGTTACCGAGTGGCAAAAGGGTGAAATCGAAGCATTGAGAGAAGCTGTTCACACGCAGTAGAAGCTTTGGATATATATAGAAAGAGAGAGGTATGTACAAGAAAGCCATATTGAACAAAGAGAAAATTGGTATAGAGCAGTTGTCCAAACCCGCCCTCCATAGCAGTATAATGTAGGAGAAAAGGTATTTACATTGAAAATAAAACCAGATGATCATAGACTGGAGGAAAAGATGAAGTGAAAGAGTAGGAGAGGGGTCCTCAAGTCTTTAGACACTGTACACCTTGACGGAGTTGACGAGCCAGTATGTCTAATTATTGTTAGCACAAACACTTTTATGTAAAGCATAGCACAATGAAGACTTACATCTGAAAAGCTCTGTGGCTGGTTTGCCACATAAGCATTGCAACTCGGGTTAATCTGCGAGCAGGAGTTTGAGCCCCAGACGCCGCCCGCCCAATCCCCACAGAATGTTATGTCAAATACAATATTCAGGTCCTTGAACCTGGCATTGTAATCACAACCTGCGCCGAAATTCGCGATCGGAGTACCCCAAGTCGCAGGATCGGGGTTACCGTTCCGGATGTTCGCTGGTACATCCCGAGTAGCAAAGTACCATACTTTGATGCCAGAAGATGTCCATAAAGTGGCGTATACACCACCGCCATTAGCGTTGAAAGGTGTACCGTATGTGACGGGGTTGTTGGCTGAGATGCCGCAGCCGTTGAAGCCGCCGCCGGCACCACAATCTCCTGTTAGACGGCTTCCAGTTTCCCCACCCGGGCCGATGGAAGGGTTGCAACCCGGGGATGTGTGGAGAGTGACTTGATTGGAAGGGCTCATGTGTACGCCTTCGTAGATGTCTATCTCGCCTTGGTTTGGCCAGTTAGGACCGACCATCCAACTGTGCAATGTAAGCGTGACGTCGTATGACAAGAGCAGGCAGATGACTCACAAAGCTGGCCATGAACCGCATGCACTCCCAGGAACATGTGCGAAGTCTGCAATAACAAGCGCACGGTTGTAGGCTGTCTTGCTTTGGACACGTACACTCTTTCGACCGGGGCCATTGGGGTCGAGTCGAGATGTTGAGTCTACACCCATGTATACCTGGCCGTTCTGTGTCTTCATTAGACCGAACTGCTGGGCTTCTTGCGCATTGACATAGTCCACAAAGCCATCTACAATTCTTGTCAGGCCATGCTACTGGAATGAGGACCAACGAACATACGTGTGGGGTCGGCAATGTCTTGGACATCAAACTTGCTCGCCCAGTTACTCGAGTCGTACGTATCGATCAAGTTGTAGGCAGCCGATGCATGCACATCATTTGAAGAGGAGTAAACAAAGGAGGTTCCATTAGGCCATGAACCAGGTCCTGCTGGTAGTGCGGTAGCACAGCGCCAAAGGAACGGAATAGAAACGAACAGTGACTTGAGGGACATGATGTTGTATGTACAAAAGGTTGAGATGTGTCGTCGTACAGACATCAAAGCCGGGATTATTTGATATACTTATAGCCATGCGCATCTTTTTCGCAATGAATATGTGCATGCTCATATGCCCCCTGGCTAAGGACGAACGACACACTTGGGTCGGCTGCACTTGGCAGAGGGAGATCCTGTCGGAGAGATTGCATGACCTACTGGCTCGCCGTATACACATACCATTGGTCGTCGAAAGCAGATTAGGGACAAAAGCCTTGCAATGTTACAGCACTTGTGAGGACGTAGTCGCAAACTTCGAATGGTCCCGGAAAATTCGCCCAGTTGAGCAGTTCGAAATTGCTTGTAGAAAAACGTGGACGTGCCGCATGATGAAGGTCTAGACACTTGTAGCCTCGTGGTAGGAGTAGTGGCGGTTAGGCTCGCTGGATGTTTGGCGGTTTCAGTAGTTTTGCTGGTGAACTGCTTCTGAGGCTCGTGAGTGGTGGAGAGGTATCGCCATTTCATCAAACGGGCCCTGTTCCCGCGGACCGCATCGCGACGCGACAAGTGAGCCGAGGAAAAGACAAAGTGTTCTGGGGAGAAATGAATAGTTGCGACTGTGAAAAGGAGTTGATTGAAACCGAGCTCACGACTTTGCTTTCTCCAGACGTTGGTCCAACGTACATTCCGTGGTCTGTTCGGGGATAGCGCTGTCACCGCTTGAACAGCGACTGCCTACTTTGCCCGACGCATCTTGCTCTCCCACTCATGCTAGGATCATTTCACAGAGCCTCGGGACCGACATGAGTCGATTTGCGGTTGGTAACAAAGAGATTTAGATGAAGTTTTGGAAAGTTGTGATACCGACCCCGCAGTGTCTTTCCCCATGGTTGTGGCATCTGATGATGTTCGAGGTCACACCGGGCGGCTCCCGCGTCAGACAGGGACTTTTCCGACGGCGCATTTGTCGGTGTATGCCTCAACCCCGGATTAGCATCGCATGCGGGGGGCTCGCGTGGTTCTACGTAGCACTGCTTAGGTCGACTAGAGAAACTAAGTGCATACCTTCTGGGTCTCCTGTTACGAACCCTTCACCGCTCAAATCGCACGATAGAAACTTGCTGAAGAGCCAATTCCAATCGAATTCACGGAGAAACAGGTCGGGTACATCGTTCTGACGAGGAAACTTGATGTGTTAGTTGCGGTCGCGACCGTCGAGGACGATCCATTACACACAACCTTGTATCAACGCGGCTTCCAGAAACCAAGAATGGTATTTGACAAGAGACGATGGAGCCGTGACACGAAGCCAACATATTCCTATCGTCCTCCAGGATACAGATCTACCAATCATACTGTTGTCAGTGTACATATACAGTACCGTATTGGAAGCGGCATATGTTGACGCACGGCTTGCTTGAACAAAGAGAAGACATAGACCTGACACTTAGAGAATATTGGCTGTGCTACCCATCATAGTCACTAGCGTATCTGCTCAACGCATAGACTTCAGTTGTTCTGTTCTCACTATCCAACAGCACTCATCACTTTTCATGTTCCAAAGCTGATATTCTAACATCTTACACGTACAGCTAGTCATCATGTGTGCTGTCGTTATATATGTGTCATTGGCTAGAAGTTACGAAGCCGACTCCAACGATTATAGTCAACTATATAGCACTCAAGTTGCACAGCTATCTGGGCATAGTATCGGGAGTCGAGGATAAAAAAACCAAATTGACTTTAACGGATCAGTCACTCTTGTTGCATCGTCCACCGAGTTCCCCAGCCGGCTATACTATGCGCTTCTCTCTGCTTCTTAGGATGATTGAAGACGCTCTGACTCTTGGCTGTAGGGTCAGATTTTGTCCTCCTCACATTCAAGATGTGGAAGCATGGTGACATTGTGATCTAAGCACATAATCGCGGATCACCGTGAGATCAGCACACTAGCAGTCAAAAGCTCTGTTCAGAGCATGTTTGGTACAAAATCGATGAGTCTCCTGTTGACTTCCACTCATGAAGGCTTCTATGCTCAGGTGGAGTTTCCGCCCTCTTCGTACGTGAGCGTCATGTAGCTGAAATGTCATATAGAAAACCTCACCACACTGCATCAATGTGGGAAAACCAATGAGATACTGACTCAATGTTGTTGCGTGCTGAGGTGCAAGCTACTTTTAATGGAAAGAAAATGTCCGTTGAACGCACCACAAGATAGATAGTCGGCAAGATGAAAGACTGTGTTGTCGCTTGAAACCTCGAGCATACTCATCGCGAACAGTCCTTAGAGGCACGTATTGGTGAACATTGTTCACACTATAAACTACTGATTTCATTCACACCTAGCCTCGGTATGCTTCACTTTCCTGCAGTCGCCGCGGTGAACACTCACAATATCACTCACTGTAGCGTTTGTCATGTTCTTCTACTCGCAAAAGCATTGTAGCAGACTCATGTATTCACCAAAATGTAGGGCCTCTGTTGCTCACTCCGGTGGTACAATGACTCCCTTTGGACTATATGAACAGATTTTACTATACTCTACTTTAGATATAGCCGCAAAGTACAACTGAGAAGCAACAGCAACGAGGAACGCAACGGAAAGTACGAACAGCATCGGCTCACGCAGCCCTACCACGTCTTCGAAGACGATGTCTTCTTCAAAGAACATGCAAAAGCTCGCCTCTATCTTCGGAAGCATATCCTTCGGCTGGATCTGGTGGCTTCGGAGTCTAGACACCAATCCTGTTACTACTCCATACCCAATTTGGTGGTATCTCTTCAGCACATTCTCACTAGGTGGCTGGCTCGTTTTCATAATCTACTACACCATAATCAATTCCAACCGAGAGAAAACTCCAGGTCCCAAGCCCCACGAGCTGTGGAATCTTCTTCACGTCGTGCCAATGGCACTTTTAAACGCTACTGTCTTCAAAAGCTTGTCGGTCAAGGACAAAGGACTACTTTGGTTTTCGGCCTTAATGGCGTGGAGATACTATCGCACCATCCTCGCTCTATACTTCTACTTCCGATACGAAATAGCGTCCAATGATTCCCTTCAGGATCTGAAGTTTAAGCCATCAGATTGCACCGTGATTGTACCCACAGTCGGCCCCGCAAACAACCCAGTGTTTAGAGAGATGACCGAACAGATTCTCCGAAACAAGCCTGCCTGCTTGATCTTTTCTGCCAACAGCCCTAACGCCCAAGAGGATATCATGGCCCACATTGAGGACTCGATCAAAACACTCGGTTCGGAAATGGTCACGGAAATCAAGTACACATGTGTCAATCATTCCAACAAGCGCAAGCAGACTTGTCACGCTATCGACATAGTGAAAACTAGGATTACTGTCATGGTCGACGATACTGCCATCTGGAATGAGCAGCTCTTGAACGCAACTCTTCCCGCCTTCAATGACCCAGAAATCGGCCTTGTTGGGACGCGAAAAGTGGTGAGGTACATTCGCCCTAACCGTAATCCCAATATGAGTCTCATGCAGTACTACAAAGCATGGTATTGGGCTGGTCTCTGGAACACTATAGGCGCACTGTATCTCCAGCGTCATAGCTTTGAGACTCAAGCATCGAATACCGCTGATGGTGGTGTTTTTGCGGTATCTGGTCGAACCTTGTTCATCTTGACATCAATCGTCCGGAATGACCACTTCAAAGATCGATTCTTGAACGAACATGTTCTCAAATCTGTCTTCACTTGGCTGACCAGACTGACCAAGTGGCACATTCCGTTTGCAGGCCAGATCCTTACCTACTTCGAGAAGAATGGCCTGAACCAAAACGGATTCGGGCCTCTTCTTGCCGATGATGACAATTTCATCACACGATGGACCATTGACCATGGATACAGCACCAAGATCCAGTCCTCGCCCAATGCAACCATAACCACGGTTTTGGGAAACGTAGAGACGTTCAAGTTCATCGATCAATGCAAACGCTGGAGTCGCACAACATTTCGGCAAAATCCCATTGCGCTGTTCAGCGATCGCACTATCTGGTGGAAATGGCCTATTTCGGTGTGGACAGTGTATTTCCCCTGGATATACAACTTCGCAATGGTATGGGATCTTTTGGCGATCCTTGCCTTCTGTCGATCAGAACTATATCTCGACTCCCCCAATGGAAATACGAGACTCATTCTCCTGGTCTCTTTCATATGGCTGACCAAACTCATCAAAACCTTTCCGTGGTTTTGGGAACATCCTTACGATTTCTTGCTGTATTTTTGGCCCATTCCTGCTTATCCTATGTTTGGGTACTTCCATTCCTATTTGAAGGCTAAAACAGCGGCGACTTGTTGGAATAACGAGTGGAGTGGAAGGAACTTGAAGAAGGCAGAGGCTGTTGCAGGAGCCGTCTCAGGACGCAAGAAAGCAGAAGATGTTTCAGCAATGGTAGCAGGACTCAAAGACGAGTAAATCGGCGGATACGGCCACTCGCTCTCGGAAAGACCGACTGGCGCCAGGATAGAAGTCGAAATGATCAAGCTTGATCAAGCTTGTAATATCTTGGATCGGGAGGAAGTTCGTTTGGCGACTTCATTTCGCGTTTTGTTGTTTTCGATTCCCAGTGTTACTTATAGACGGTAGACAAGGACATGCAATTCTATTCCAGGCTTCTAGGTCAGCTTTGATCTGGATAGGCTATTGTAAGGCGTTTAATAGAAGGTCGCACGTGTACCTACTGGCAGTGTAGATACCATGCTTTGTCTAAAGTGATCTTTATGTATGCCTTGGGATGGCTTCTGTAACCAGGTTCCGGGTTATTGCTGCGAGAGATCACAGCTCTCGGATGGGAGGCGGCAGCCTGTGTAAGTTGTGAACATTACGGAGCTTGGCACAATCTCCGAAGAATGCGACAGTGCGAACTTGATTGAATGTGGTATGTGGTCTGTCGTAGAAGACATTTTGCTATCACTTTCTAGACTGCTCAGCAGCGGCGACTTCCAGCGGCTGCGGGCCGTTCCAATACGTCATACATATCGGTCATGGATAGATCACATCTTAACAACAACACCGAAGGTATGGACGCAACATTGATTCGACTACAAAGCGAGCGATATCACCAAAAATTCGCCGTAGCTTTGAGATAAACATGAGATGGCGTTCGTACGCTAGGCGCAATTGCTTCATTTGTACTTTCCTCCACCAGAGCTGAAGCCGGTCCCGACATGCTGGAAACATCCGCTCCACCAACTCTACTTTGACTACACCTCTCGCTCCACTTCTACACTACATGTCTTCTGCGAAATCAGCGTATAGCAACAGCGCTTTTGTCGGCCTTCTTTGGTTCCGGCAGGACTGCGATATGCGACAGCGCATTCTTCAATTCCGCCACCATTGTCGATCCAAAGTCACGCGCAGGCAAGGACCTCTCTCAAAATAATTCGTACTGGACGAGGGTCGACAGAGTGGTCGGCGAACAGAAACTCGCATACCGCATACTGCATCAGCCAAAGAGCATGGTATTGGTTGATGTGCAGACACCCTGGACCCTCCACCGCCAAGCTCTGTCACCAGCTTGATGCGATCGCGCGCGCATATGGGAGAGAGTATCGCTTACCTTGATGCTGTCCGGCAGGACTGGGGTTGGCGACGATGGGGGCCAGAACAAGCGGAACGTGTTGGTCTGCTAAAAGAGAGTTGGCGCCAATCAAGTCCTTCG